TATAGTGCATGTACATTAAGGCAATATCGAAACAATACGCGCAGTATGCACATATGTCAAATAACAGATCGATCAATTCAAGTCCTAAAAATCAATGAGAAGATCCAAGTAAACAATATAAAATGAATTTAACCAGCTATTTCATGATCATGTTTTATATTCGTGTCATACTCTTTGTTATTCATATAACTGAAAGGATCCACTACTTCCTCTTTAATAACACTGCAATAGAACTATTTAACTCGTATATTATTGAACTACTTAATCGATATTCAGTAGTATTTTGAAACATTAGTTCAATCAGTAGATGAGAAAAAAAAAATACAAAAACAATATTGTTTTCGATATTATCTTTGGTGAGACTATAATTTATGGACGACGTTTGAGTGATAGTAGACTGATCTTGAAAGTATCCACCTAATATAACTACGACCACATAAGGGTTATAAACCACGGTGAGGAATTCGAATTATGATTTACAGTTGATAGTCTGGGGTTAGGAATTACATTTAAGGTTTTCATCAAGAATTTACATCAGCTATAATTTCAAAAGTCTATTTAGCCAAATGGGTGAGTGAATTTCGTGCCAAAATCCAAGACCTGTGTATCTAATATCTGATTAGTTCATCTATGAATTATAGTCTCGCTAGCTCAGAACCAACTAGACAATTTGGACTTCGCAGATGACCTAGCCCTCCTATCGCATACACACAAACAAATGCAGACAAAGACAGTCAGCGTAGCAGCAGTCTCTGCATCAGTAGATCTCAAAATACACAAAGGGAAAACCAAGGTCCTCAAACACAACACGGAGAACAGCAATCCAATCACTCTTGATGGAGAAACTCTGGAAGATGTAGAATACTTCACATACCTGGGAAGTATCGTCGATAAACAAGGAGGTTCAGATGCAGACATCAAGGTGAGGATTAGCAAAGCTAGAGCGGCATTCCTTCAACTGAAGAACATATGGAACTCAAAACAACTTTCAACCAATATCAAAGTCAGGATCTTCAATACCAACGTCAAGGCAGTTCTACTGTACAGAGATGAAACGTGGAGAACTACAACAACCATCATCAAGAAGGTACAAGTATTTATCAATAGCTGTCTACGCAAGATACTCAACATCCATTCGCCGGATACCTACAGCAACAGCTTTCTGTGGGAGAGAACAAACCAGCTTCAAACTGAAGAGGAAATTATGAAAAGACGATGGAAATGGATAGGACATACATTGAGGAAATCATCAAACTGCACCACGAGGCAAGCCCTAACCTGGAATCCTGAAGGGAAGCGGAAAAGAAGAAGGCCAAAGAACACATTACGTCGGGAAATAGAAGCAGATATGAAAAGGATGAATAAGAACTGGAAAGAGATGGAAAGGATTGCCCAGGACAGGGTTGGATGGAGAATGCCGGTGAGCGGCCTATACTCCTCCACGAAGAGTAACAGGTGTAAATAAGTAAGTAAGTAAGATCTTCATCAGGCTTTATAATCTAATATGTAATAATATTGATATGAAAACTATTTAATCAATCATGAAAGCTTACAAATTGACGATAATTATGAAATAGATAACACAAGGAATTAGAATAAGTAACAAGTACAAATTAGTAATAATGAGATGAAAGGTGAACTATGAAAGAATAAGAACCAATACTAAAGGCTAAAATCAACATTTCAAACATAGGAAGTAGGTCAAAACTTGAAAAAAACTAGACATTACTGAACATTGTCAAAATTACGTAATAAGATATGTCCAAATCATGATTAGGTAACGAGTAAACGACATACAAAAAAAAAAAAAAACGAGAACAACAATCAATAATAATGATTAGCCTAATGGTTTGTTAACGATTCTATGGTTAAACAATAGAAAGAATGTTATAAATTACTTTTGAATACATAAATTAGGGTCATAGGTTCGAATCGTATTAGGGTATATGTAAGAGATGAGATTGAACTCTTATCAGTCAGTCAGTCAATCAGTAACAACGTGAAATTTCGTACGTACGTACGTACATCAGTTTGAGTTGCCATACCACATTAGCACACAGATACAATTGTCGATTCAAATCCCATAGTGGTAGAGGTAGTAAGAAGAGTATAAGCAGTGATCCGGAAGATTCGGGTTTGATGATGTTATTCAAGGAGTATAATCCAGTGGAATAGATTTGGAAAGAAAATAAAGGACATGAAGAATTCGTAAGATTAGAGTTTGGGAGAACACAAAAAGTGGATGCATCTGCACACACCATTGCAAACGATTTTGAACCATGTCATTCAAGATCTCTAATTATCGATTGCTATCATCTTGAGGATCCCAACCAGATAGTCTACACCTACCAACATGACTCAGTCCACTTGTCAGTGACTTCATGGATTTGTGCCATGTTTTGATCAGGCCACCCCTAGCTTTTTTACAAATCACTCCTACACCATAAATCATCGCACGTCGGGGCAGTCGGTGGTTGGGCATACGTAACACGTGTCCCAGCCATCTCAAGTGACGAAGTTCCACTACTTCATCAATTAATTTGCCATCCTGAGCTAGTACCCGTTCCCTAACAACTGTATTACTTATTTCTTGGTCTCAGGATATATGGGCAATGTTTCGTAGACACCTATGATCGAATACTAGCAACCTACGAATATCCTCTACTTTTACTGGCCAAATGTGATCAAATAAAGCTAAGGACTGTTTTGTTAAACTCTTTCACAAACAAAGAGATATTCACACATTCGTTGGTTGTAAATCGAATATACAGCTATCTTTCTATAGGAGCATCTGAATTCATAGATACACATTGAAGAGGTAAACGTAAGTGAAGTATCCTTTTATTCGGATAAATCTTATCCGTGGACTAGAAAATGACAACATAAAATTATCTGTGTAAAGCATTCGTTTAACAATTCACATTAGTTTTACTGTGAAGAACAACGCTAGCTAGATCTCTATTGAATTGTACTTTAAAGTAAAGGGGTTTGCAAAAAGTTATCCCCCGCATGCATAGATATATATATCTTGGTGTTTATTTTTCCCAAGTTTGGATCTACTTTCTATGTTAAAACATTGATTTTAGTCATTAGTATACTTATCGCGAATAGTTTACTTATTATGCAATCTGTTTCATTTTTATCGTCAATTCATAAACTTCCCTGGTTGATATATTACAGTAAAGCCTGAATAAGATCTAATTGAAATCATCAAACTGCATCACAGGTCAAACCCTAATTTGGGTTCCCTTGTAAAGGTAAAAAGAAAAAGAGGCAAACCAAAGAAATCATTGAGCTAACAATTGGAGGCAGACATTAAAAAAAAAAAAAGAAAGAATAGCACTTGGATACAGCTGGAAAGGAGAGCTCAGAACAGAGTCGGTTGGCTAATTCTGGTCTGTGACCTATGATCCACCATATATATATATATATATATATATATATATATATATATATTGCAGCAGGTTTCAAACAATCCCAGCATGTAGATAAATAACACCTTGTTGGTGAGTGTGAAATAACAAAAAAAAAAACTAGGTCCAAAGTTTCTTGTCAATAACTTATCAGACCTGTAGTGTTCTTTTATGAAAAGTAAACATTCAACCGGTAACTATTATCAGGTAGATAGTTGTTGATGAAACACTGGATTTGTTTTACATTACAAACTTATTAGACAATTAGAAAGTAGATTATTCTAAACATTAAATATGTTAGTATGATAGAGATAAATAATAACTCCTATTCAGTAGTAGTTGTACTACTACTACTACTACTACTACTACTACTAGTAGTAGTAGTAGTAATAATAATAATAATCATAATTATAATGATAATGATAATCTTATCCTACTTACTTCATTAAAAACAATATCCATGAAATCATCATAAGAATTTTCCAATGAATTACTATTATCATTATTTAAAACAATATCATTAGTATTCACTTTAGTAGTTAATTGATGATCTGATTTTAAGTTTGTTGATAATGACGATGGTGGTGGTTGAACTGATATTGTTGTTTGTTGTTGTTTACGACGTAAATTATAAGGCACATTCATTGAATTATTATTATTAATATTATTGTCTAATGTTTGTATTGAATTCATATCTGTTGTATATGTATTACATTGTTCAATAGCTTCAAATTGTTCCGATAATGATTCTTCTGTGATTATTGGTTCTAAACGAGCAAGTGGACGTTGACGTCGTGCTCTTTCACGATACCTTGAAAATAAAACATAATTAAACAATTATGATTTATGTATTTACTCATGAGTAATGAATTACTTTTACAATAGAATAAAGTAAAAAATGAATAATCTGAATAAGAATTTCACTGATAAAGTAAATTAGATACAAGAAGTGTAAACAAGTGTTATATATATGGAAGAGATTAATCATAGTTTAGTATTCAATATTAGAGATGATATATCTTCATCATGGTTTAGTTGTTGAGAATATATATTTTAATAGTTGAGATCATGAGTAAAATTGAAGTTTCAAGAGGTATTTCCTGAAGTTCTAATGAGAAAGAGTGACTAGTGGAGTTCAACTGTGTCAATTGTGAAATAGTAACTCCATGAAGATAATGGCCCCCAAATGCCCTGGTACGGCCGAGAATGGGGAGAGTCCACTCTCCCTCTCCAAATGCTCTCACATGGCCATGCGTATACAGCCTCTGTCAGGGAAGTCCTACTCACTGCCTTCTCGTGGCACAGGTGTTGTTTACAAAAATGAGAGGACGAAAAGCGAATGTCTGTCGCTTTAACCGGACCCCAAACCAATGATGCACATGGGCTGGCTCCAGTATCCTGCGGGAACAAATGGCGTATGAACCAATCGTTGGTCACCGGTTACCATGGGACTGCATCTCCTCACGATGCTCCACTGCCTTGTGGGTCAGACGTTCAGGTCAAAGGCTCGGGGTGTGGCCCCCTAAGAAAACCACCTGCTTCGGTTTGGGCACCCGGGCAGTATCACAGCCCTCACACAAATCAATTGAGATTTGTGTGGCGCATATGTATGAAGATAATGGTGGATATGTCGCTCAACACATTAACACTGCTAAATGCCAGCTAGCTCATTGGTCTAAAAAGGTTAAGCATTCATGTGCGAGATTGATAGGTTTTGGGTTCGAATCTCACGATGCAGGATCATGGATACGCATTGCTGAAGAGTCCTACAGAAGGACAAAATTTCCATCCAGTGCTTCTAGGTTTTTCATGGTGGTGTCTAGTTTCAATTGACTCATTATCTCAACCATTAATAATGTACATATATATATTATTAACTCTCTACCCTATAGTCAATTTATTAGAAACTATCAAGTTCTAACCATGATATGGATACCTGCTTAATGACTGATCAGTGTATGAGAATAAAAAAAAATGTATTGAAATCAACCACTCTGTGTATATTATAAAGCTATTTACAGGTTAAAAAAAAAAGAAACCCATAAAATAAACATGTTTATACAAAACGCACGCACACACGCACACACGCACACACATACACACATCACATATACACAACATATAAACAAGTAAAGATGTATTCTCATCTGAACAAACCAAATCTATTTCTGATCCATATCTAAATTTAAGTAGATCAAGGAGATACAACTATTTGTAACCAGTTTAAACGTGATAATGGAGATAGTACGACAAATAAAAAAAAATTTTTTTTTGTTTTTCTCATTAGAAAAATTCTTTTCATTTCAATATCACCACTAGTTCACCATCTATCTATTCAATATTGTCTTTCTATGGTGATGTGAATGAAAAAAAAAACAAAGAGAAAACCAGATATACATTTTTTCTGTTGGGTTAATAGGGAAACGATGTCTAATGATTTAATCTATTGATATTATTATGGTTCTTTTTTTTAATATGAAAAGTGATCTATTGAACTAATTTGGGGAATGATTGTAATTTAGTTGATAAGGTTGTGAATCATCATTGACTAAGATGGTTAGGCTACGTGATACGTATGCCTGAACATCGATTACCACGACGCGTAATGCTTCTCCCAAATGCCCTGGTATGGCCGATAGTGGGGAGAATCAACTCTCCCTCTCGAAATGCTCTCACATGGTCACGCGTACACAACCTCTACCAGGGAAGTCCTACTCACTGTATTCTCGCACCACGGGTGTTGTTTACGAAAATGACAGGACGAAAAGCGAATGTCCGGCGCTTTAACCGGATCCAAAATCAATGGTGCACATGGGCTGGCTTCAGTATCCTGAAGGAACAAATGCCGTATGAACCAATCGTTGTTTGCCGGCTGGCTACCATGGGACTGCATCTCCTTACGATGCTCCACTGCCTTGTGGATCAGATCTTCAGGTCGAAGGCTCGGGGTGTGGCTCCCTAAGAAAACCACCTACATCGGATTGGGCACCTGGGCAGTATCACAGCCCTCATACATATCAAATGAGATTTATGTGGCGCATATGTATTTGGTGTCTCCTTGTATCAATATCTATGTGTTAAAATAAATAAATAAATAATATAAAATGCTGACTAGTGTTCGAAACGGTTGGACAAAAGTTAACGGTGGCTAAACCAAGACGTGGCATCAGTGCTTGAAGTCACTAACTTGTGGTTTGAGCCATGTTGATAGATGTAGACTACTTGGTTTGGGTCCATTTGTCTATCGTAACCAATGATTGGAGACTCTGGGTGATATGGCTCAGAATCGATCACAATGGTGTAGGTCTATACACTTTTTGTTTTCCTTGAAACTAAGAGATTAAAATCGCTTCATATCTTTCTTTTTACCAACTAATCCTTTCTTCCTGTACTATCTCCTTATATGCAATGTTTCTTCTATATATTACCACCACTGAATTAACTACTTCTACCAATCCGATGTTCATGTTGCTATGCTAATGAGGTATGGTAACTTGTACCGATGCATATCTGTGTCTGGTCTTACGTTGTGACTGACTGACCAGTCTTTACCGACTTAGTAGTTTAAAGATTAAGTGATTATTACGAAGCTTGAAAATTCTCGATGAAGTTATAGATGCACACTGCTAAAAGATTTTGTAATAGAATTAAACAATATTTGCTTGTCTAAATTCAATGAATAAATGCACGATTAATACTCATATTCTTTCTATTACCTGGTTACAACTTTTAAGTTTTATAGTTTCATACCATATACATAATCTGATTTATAAGATCATTTGAGTGTACTGTTGACAATCTGTTAAACCATCAATCAATAAGTAACATAGATCCTATGTATTAGTTCAATTGACGTAGTCATACAACCATCAATTCATTTAGTCTGTATCTTTACTCAATATAGCTCAAACTACAAATGGATATCACTTCTTAGTTTAATCATAACTAAGAATCATTATCAAAATTATTCCTATATCAGCCAAATATTGGGCATCGATGAATCAGTAGTTGAGTAACATGTAACATAAGTTCTAACCATTTCATTCGATATAATATCATAAATAAGACATTAGATTTTTAATTAGTGTTACAATTTCGATCGGTACAACATTGAAGTAAACTATAAACCATATTGAATGTTTACATATAATAAAATGAAGATACTAAACATAAACGTGATACCCTTTTTTTTTCTTCACTTCAACAAGTCTTGAATATTAGACACAAAAAAGAACAGATAGAGAGGATAAAAAATGTACTGATGAATGTAGTATGTCATATTCTACATTGATTATCACTAACTGATTTCTAGCTTACCACCACCACCATCATCATCATCATCACTCCCCACTCCTTAGAGTGTGTACCATCTTATATGCTTGACAAAAATAGAGGACGGAAATATGAAAAAAAAAAAGAAACCTGCTAAACTTTCAAAAAATAAAAATAATCTTTATGGTTATTAATGATCTTAGGTTTTTTTTTATACAATATTCAAAGAGATACGAATATCTACTATGATTCCAGCATTTCACACTAATCAAACTAAGAAAGAATATAATGAGTGTCCTCTTCTAAAGAAGATTCCTAAAATTGTAATTGGCTAGAAAAAAAATACCTTTGGAAATTCTCATATGGAGTAATCTCGTAAACTCAGGAGCACAGGATAGATGTCACATAGTAATAAGGACACTTCATCAACAGTTCAAACTTTAACAATCTTATAATATGATTAAACAAGCATTTGGTGATTCTTAGTTGCCATAATGATGAAGTTAATCTGTAATCAATAGTATTTATAAATGAAATGAAATTTTGAAAAATCCCCTTCAAATCAACTCTAGATTTTTCCTAACAGTAATGATTTTCCTGATCAGTGATTAACTTGTATCTTACATCATACACATAAACACGTTAGTTGCTTAGAACAACAAATGTTGATGATTGAGAGGTGATTTTTATCTGGCTATATATATTTGTGTATTCAATCAGTCAGCTACAATGTAGGACCAGGCACATATATGCATCGGTACAAGTTCCCATACCTCATTAGCACAACAACATGAACACCAGATTCATAGAAGTAGTTACTTCAATGGGAGTAATATATAAAAGAAAGATTGCACATAAGGATATAATACAGGAAGAAATAATAAGTTGGTAGAAAGAAAGATATAAAGCAATTTTAATCTCATAACTAAAGGGAAGACAGAGGGTGTGTGGAAAAATAATCACTAATGCTTTTACTAAAATAGCACCGATAAAAGTAGAGCATATTCGTAGGTTACTAGTATTCGACCATAGGTGTCTTCAAAGCATTGCTAGGACCATCGAGTAAGTAACGCAGTTGTTAGGAAACGGATATTAGATAAGGATGGCAAATCAATTGATGAAGTAGTGAAACTTCATCAGTTGAGATGGCTGAGACATGTGTTACGTATGCCCAATCACCAACTGCCTGGACGTGCGATATTTTAAGGTGTAGAAGTAGGTTGGAAGAAAGCTAGGGGCGGTCCGATCAAAACATGGCACGAATCCATGAAGTCACTGACAAGTGGACTCAGTCAGGTTGGTAGATATAGACTATCTGGTTGAGATCCACGAGACGGTAGCAACCGATGGTTAGAGATCCTGAATGACATGGCTCAAAATCGTTTGCAATGGTGTGTGCAGGTGCATTCACTGTTTGTGTTCTCCCCAATTCTAATCTTCTGAATTCTTCGTATCCCTTCTTTTTTTCTCTTTCGAAATTTATTTCACTGTATCATACTCCATGAATAACATCTGCAAACCCGAATCTTCCGGATCACTGCTTATACTCTTCTTACTACCTCTATCACCATGGAATTTGAATCGACAACTGCATCTCTTTGGTAATGTGGTATGGCAACTCGAACTGATGAACGTACGTACGAAGTCTTACGTTGTTACTGACTGACTGACCGGTTATTCCATTCAAATAGCATCTCAATAAAACTATTATGCTACTACTGAAACTACAAAATATTCTGTTAATTAATGCAAATTTGTTTTTAGGAAAACATAATTAATCACATATTCAGATTATTATTATTATTATAAAACATTGATTAAATCATCTTTCAACCAGTTGCTTAGTAGTAGTTGTAAAAGAGGTTAGGACCAAGAAGGTGGGGGGCAGTAATATAAATCATTATAATTTAGGACTCATATTATGATTAGTACAATGAGAGGAGGGGTGGAAATAGAACAGACGAAATAGAAACGAAGTTGAAATAATTACCATCAATGGTATCGTAAAATTAAGTATACAGAGTTAATCATAAGCAAAGTAAAACTTAGAAAATATATCCATAGCCTTAAGTTGCCATATTATCTTACCACAATCAGATGTAATTATTAAAACAGACACCAGAAAAGGAAAAGTGTGAAAGTATTCATAACCGTAGTGGTTGTAGTCACTGTAGTTGTAGTAAAAATATTTAAAGATAAGGGATACGCTCAACTGTGCTATTATGATCATTGTTCGATGAAATCAACTAACCTCTTCAACCGTTGGTTACGATGATAGTATGTACCTCAATCAAAAAGTCTGAACCTACTAATAGGACTGAGAACAACAGTTAATGACTTCGTGTAGATAAGAAGAAGAGAATGACATTATAAAACGAAGAAAGTAAGCAATCAGATTCAAACTTATGATTTAACGAATGATAAATAATCAATGAACCACTGTTATCGCGATTGGTTATAGTCTTTTTGTCTACGATCTTCAGTCTTACTGTGATGTATGCTACTTATGTCTGTTGACATAAATAGTAAATAACACCAATCAGAAGAGGAATACCTAGCAGCAAAATGTTGAGAAGATCGAATTGAATAGAACAAAAACGTAAACAGAGATTAATTACAATAACAACAGGAATGAAGAAACAATCGAAGTTTTTAAAAGATAGTCAGTCATTAACAACATAGAACTTCGTACGTACGTACATCAGTTCGAGTTGCCATACCACATTAGCACACAGATACAATTGTCGATTCAAATCCCATAGTGGTAGAGGTAGTAAAAGGAGTATCAGCAGTAATCGGAACGATTCGGGTTTGATGACGTTATTCAAGGAGTATAATCCAGTGGAATAGATTTGGAAAGAAAATAAAGGACATGAAAAATTCGGAAGATTAGAGTTTGAGAGAACACAAAGAGTGGATGCACCTGCACACACCATTGCAAACGATTTTGAGCCATGTCATTCAAGGTCTCTAATCATCGATTACTATCGTTTTCGCGGTTCCCAACCAGGCAGTCTACACCTACTAACATGGCTCAGTCCATATTTTATGAAGAGATTATATCATTTTGTATAAGAAAGAAATTGATTATCCCTACCTGAGTGTTTTCTCACTAAACTACATTAGAATTAATGTATGGACATTAAAAAACACATCTTCTTAACATAGATAAGTTCCATAATAAATAGCTATATGGATCGATTTTCGACATAGTTTTAAGCTAGCTAACTTAGCACTTTAGAGGTTTGGAATGTGTACGTTATCTTTCAGCCAATGAATAAGATTTCAAAGGTGACATATAGCTTCACAAGAATATTGGATAAAGTTTGATGATACAGTGGTGATAGTCTTTCTTTGAATAACTACTTATCTGATCAGTCTATTCTAGTTACATCTTACCTAAAGAAAATTGAAACTGTGTTCTATTAAGCGGAATGAATTTGTTATTCAGCTAAGTATTAACACAATAGAACTGTATGATAATGAATGATGCGAAATTAATTTATATGTGGGAAGACTGTCCATTTTGTATTTTCATTTAAGAAAAATAACCATCAATCCTAGTGGAAGTGTTTGTTCATAACATTTTAAATTTATGTTCCATGGCAGTAGAGTTGTGAAAGTAGTAGAGTAACATCAGTAGATTTAACTCTATAGTAATCAATGATTGTAATACGTTCGTATGACGTTCGTTCTATCAAGGATTTCCAACTCCCTTAGGTTGATCCTACGTGTTTTGTTTTGACTCTCTGATATATCTGTGGAAATAATATACTACTTGAAGGCGAAACTAAGTAGGATCTCTCCGAAAGAAACTTTAAAGGTGCAATCGTACATGAAAGAATTTAGAGAAAAAGTAGTATTGGATTAGAAAAAAATTGAACAGAAACAAAGAAATAAAAAAATAACCATAGTTACACTACTAATGATCTAAATACTATACCATTTAACATCAGATGGTGTATTCATTCGTTTCCATACATAGTAGAATTCTACACAAGCTTTAACTGTTTTATTCATTCCAGCTGCTTGTAAATCTTTTGAAACTTGATGAAAATCTCTCCCATGCATAGCTAAACCTTGTTGAAAGCGTACAATCTCTTCAGTTGTCCAAGCTGTAGTTTCTATAAAACCAAGAGAATATATTACATAATATGATAATGAAATATTATATAATGAATCTAATGAAAGTCAAAGACGATTTAACATAGACTTCGGTTTACAATATTTAGATTATTCATGTGTATAAACACAGACCCGGTGTTCATAAACAATGATCTGTTATAACTTGTGGTTTGTGTGCCCTGTTTATGTATGACGTAACAATACCGCCAATTAGAGAATAGTGAATTATCGATCGGAACAGTGACGCATAAAACACATACGAGCAGTCTAGAGTACTTATCGGTCCTGATTTCTGCTTAGTTCAGCCAGTCAAGTCCAGAACACCAATCTCAAGGTCTACGATATGAATTGTTTATTTCAAACATATTAGGTCTACATACCAACCAGACAGACCACATTGTACCATAAAATAGGAAACAACATTAAGCCAAAAGTGGCTGTGAGTGTTGGAGGTAGTAATTGATAAACTGGGAATAACTGAAGAATGGTAAATCGTAGAATAATAGTTTATAGGTCAAAATAAATAGCGTGAACTAAACTGTTTGGTTCATATGCATCAAACCAGTTACAAAATGAATTGATTAAAGCATACTACAGTTCAAAGGTAATATACTTATTTTAACTTTTTCCTACTTTTGTTTTAAGTTACAAACGTTAGATGGAATAAGATGATGAAACTTCTAGGACTATTCTACGTAGAATTATTATTTGAATATTTATTATGTAATTTATAAGTATTTAGTTTATAGTGTTTTCATATTCATCTTCCTCTCTCTCCCCCCCCCCGCATTTATATTACTAACTATCGATTAATGATACACCTATTACTCAGTTTTGTACGATATATAACCAACTTGTATATAAATTGTGATTTCTTGTTTGAGGTAGGCTATAGCCGTCTAATTCATGTAATCTTTTAAGTCATAATGATAATAATAGGCAAACCGGTTAACAGTTCTAATGTTGTAATCAAGTATTGGATAAATCAATACGCATTAAGATATCCAGTCGTTATTATTATTCATTAATATGGATAATGTGGTGGCGTTTGAAGTGAACAGTAGTGAGTTCAAGTCTTGAACTGAGCATCAACTCTGGGATACAAATATATCCAATTGAACAGTCTTAAATAGGACGAAACATTCGTCCTGGATTCAACTACTAGCCATCGTCCATCTCTGCTTATAATGCATGTAACTTAAGGCAATATCGAAACAATTTACACAGGATGTAAATATACCAATAAGAGACTGATCAATTACAATCCTAAATAACAACCAGAAGATTCGAATAACCAATACAAAACGAATCATTAATATCCTTATTTAAACAGGTTATTATTATAATGAACTCTATAATCTATAATGTGAGAACATACAAGTCAAATTCATTACATAATTAATAAAACACACACACACACACACGCACACACATACATTTAATAGAGATAACAATAATAACTTACCAGCATAAACATAATCATAAACAACTAATGTATCACGTAATAAAGCATGTAATGTCATTTCTACATCCCCTTTATATTTACATAATAAATGAAATGTATATTCCATATTTAATCCACAATTACGTACAGCTGGTGAACAGGCAATTTTTGTCAATAAATTTACTAATCAAATGATTTTTTTTTTGAAAGAAAAAAAAAACAAACAAAACAAACAGTGATAGTAACAACAACAAAATGATGGTGGTGGTGGTGGTGGGAGGGGGCGAAGAGAAGAACAAAATACAAAATAGAAGAATGTATTCAATAGATATGTTACAAGATTCTAGTAGTTTGATATAATGGTCAAAGGCTAATTGACTAAAGAAATTGATGTGAACAGGGAAACAAGAAGCCTTGACAAATTATGAAAGCTATTTTTCGGGATGTTATTTCATTTTATTCAAAACTTGTAAAACACTGATATTTATTTTTGTTTCAATAGTTGAAATCATGAATCAATTGAAGCTAGACCACCATGGGAAACCTGGAAGCACTGGACGACCGTTTCGTCCTAGTAGAGGACTCCTCAGCAGTGCGCATCCACGATCCTGTCCCCCGCGGGATTCGAACCCAGGACCTATCAGTCTCGCGCCAGGCGCTTAGCCAACTAGACCACTAAGCTGGCATCCAACGGTGTTAATGTCTAACTTCAACCAATCCATACTAGGACGAAACGGTCGTCCAGTGCTTCCAGGTTTTCCATGGTGGTCTAGCTTTAATTGATTCATGATTTCAACTATTGAAATTACCAATTCTCCACAAAACCCATTCTAGTAATTTATTTTTGTCCCTAATCTATTCTACAGGACATAAGTTTTCGTTCGATGTATCATTCCCTGCCGTAATTAAAAAATAATATTTTGCACCCTATTTTCTACTTTAATTTCCAGCTTTGGACATAATTGTATTTTTCCCAATCATTGTACGTTACAGTCGGGTTATTCATCTATTTATTCATGTACCTTTTTACACTAATCTGAAATCAGAGGAATCGGGGATATCGGGAATAGATCGAGTAGTGTTCCAATTGTCTGTCTTCTCTTATTCGTGTGCTTGTCTACCAATCAGATGACAGAATAGTTTTCTTCTCTTCACCCCATCTCGAACTCACGCGTACTAGTCTTAAGGTTAGGCCGATCAGCCTATTGCGTCAAAGTCTAGATTAGAAAGTGTCCTCGACACAAAACATGGGTAGACAGATTAAAGGTCATAACATTAATGATACACTACTACAGGTTGTAATGCAGATGCAACGATGATACAAGGTGATTTGTAAACAAACACGACATAGGCTTCTATGCATTAATTAAACAGCTATAAATATATCAGATCCTATAAAATGTCAATCATGATCCAAATAGCTCGATAGTAACGTCTTAGATTGTGAAATTGGAGTAATATGAGCTTGAATCCCCACTATGAAAATATCAATCCTATAAAGATCGTAGATATAACTTGCTAACGATTTTCGATTAGAATTAAACTTAGATCTAGATTTTTCTGATGAATATTTTTAATCATCTACGATCTAGATGTTAATTTCTTTGGAGATAATGATGAATGACCCATGATAAGATTGAAATTTCCCAATTGTCTATACTTTATATTCTGCAGGAGGTAAGGTCGTGGATGCGCACTGCTGAGGAGTCCCACAATAGGACGAAACGACCGTCTAGTGCTTCCAGGTTTTCCATGGTGGTCTAGCTTCAACTGACTCATGATCTTAACCATTGAAATTACTATAAGTGATTTCTTTTAATCATAGTAAATAATTCAATTTAGTGAGTAGCAATTGTAGAGCCAACTCATATCGTACGATTATATAATAACAATGCCATTTGACCAACTAGAAATATCTATCATCATAATCATAATTTGTTGACAAACTCTGTATAGAACTTATATAGATGAAAAGATCATAAGATAATCGAAATCAATTGTTTATTATACGTAATTTTTAGTGGTAATACTTCAACATTAAAAAAAAGAGATTTACTTACTACAATAAGGAAGGAAATTTATTTAAACTAGTTCATACATACATCACTAAAGGGATTAAGTCATGTTTATTATGTAGTGCTACCAAATGCCTTGGAACGGCTGTGAGTGGGGAGAGTCAGCTCTTCTTCTCCAAATGCTCTCACATGGCCACGTGTATACAAACATAAACACTCACTGCCTTCTCGTGGCATTATTGCTTACGAAATGGAGAGGATGAAAAGCGAATGTCCGGTGCTTTAATCGGGTTGGTGGACACGGAGAGTCCACCTAGGGGAGTTGAAAAACCTTGATTCCAAATCAGTGGTGCACATGGGCTCCAGTATCCTGAGGTAACAAATCTCGTATCAACCAATCGTTGATCAACGGTTACCATGGGACTGCATCTCGTGACGCTACTTCACTGTCTTGTGGATCGGACCTTTAGATCAAAGTCTCCGGGTATGGCCTCCTAAGTAAACCACTTGCTTCGGTCTGGGCATCCGGGCAGTATCCCATCCCTCACATAAATCGAATGATTTAGGGGGCGCATATCTATTTGGTGTCTCCTTATACCAATGTATGTGTTTAAAAAAAATTATGTAGTGCCTAGTGATTAAATGATATTATGGTTGTGTTTTTAGTGGATTGTTTTTTTTTAAAAAAAAACTTTATTACTTCTCCACTTATTATTATTCCACGACTATGAAAGACGTATAGACTATAGGCTTTAATCACTGAAGTCTCCGAAGAGTCTGCTCCAGTACAGTAAAATAATAGATTGAACAATAATGAGATTTAGTATATAGGATAAAAGAGAAAAATGGCAAATTATACATAATTACTAATCGATAATATTAGTTGAATTCTGAAAAAAAGAAAAGAAAAGAAAACACTACACATGTTAGTGATGCCAGAAAACAAAAAAAAAAAAAGAGAGGGAACTTACATGATTCTATATTCTTAGGATCATGTTCATCAAGATAAGCTGGATACCACAGTAACATTTCCCAATTGGATGATGATTCTTTGTTAATTTCATCTAATGTAATTTTTAATGTTTTTGTTAATCATAAGAGAAGGGAATAAAACAAAATATAACAATTTGATTCATGATGAAAATGACTTAACGTACTATACATTATAACAATTCAGTGAAAATTATGACAATAACGTTTAGTGATTTCAGTTACCAAGTTTCCGGTTCGAACTCATCATCTGTTGTCCACTTCTCATCACTCATCATCCCATTTTTAAAATAAGGACAAAAATCCGTTTGTGATAATCAGAGAGGAATTAGTTTATCTAAAGTAACGTCTCATATATTACTCTTAATAAAATCTTAATGTCTAACTAGAATGCATGAAGAGCGAATCCGAGAAAACCAGACTAGTTTCAAACCTGGATGCGGATATATAGACCAAATATTCACCATTTGGTAGGTTTTGGAACATAGACATACTTTTTGACAATAGTTGTATTCCACTGGTTGAAATCATGAGTCAATTGAAGCTAGACCACCATGGAGAATTTGGAAGCACTGGACGGTCCAGTGGTCTAACGGTTAAGCGCTCGCGCGCGAGACTGATAGGTCTTGGGTTCTAATCTCGCGGGTGGCGAGATCATGGATGCACACTATTGAGGAGTCCCATACTAGGACGAAACGGCTGTCCAGTGCTTCCAGGTTTTCCATGGTGGTCTAGCTTCAACTAACTCATGATTTCAACCAATGAAGTTTCTAAAATCTCCACAAAACCCCTTCTGATAATAGTTGTATTCGTTGACCTTAAGGTAGGGTTCGACTCTGTTGTTCATGAGGTTCTGCAGCAGTGTCTGTTATTGAATGTCATGAACATTGTACATATCCTTTATTCGAACGCTACTGGTCGAATCAAAGCTTATAGTGAACTGTCATCAGAATGAATCAGTTCAAGTGATATTCGTCCAGGTTGTTCACTTTCCCCATTTTTATTTAACTTTGCCATAGACATACCTTTACAGATAGTACTCTCATCGTATGAAATTTTAAGAGTTGATCTTTCATCAGGAGATTAACTTGTTGACTTAAAATACTCAGATGATATAATCGTTTTTGGTTAAGTTGCTAATGAAATGCCGAGACTTCTGATAGACTTAAGTAACTTTGTTGTGCAATTCTCTCCCTACAAATGTTAAATGTCGCTTCAGGATTGCCCTGTGTCAACGACTGAACTCGGGATAGGGATTGAAGTAATTGAACTTATCGACCTCTTCATTTATCTTGGAAGTCTCATCAGTCCTGGTGATCTGATGTCTGATAAAATCTAAGCGTAGATTCAGAAGGTTCTATTAGTTTTTGCAAAATTACGTTGCTTGTGGCGTAGTTAAGATATCCGTTTTCAAACGAAAGGTCGAGTTTGCTGCATAGCAGTTTGCCCTGTCCTGCTTTATGGGTGTGAGACATGCCCATTAAGAATATAGGATATTATTAGGTTACTAGTTTTTTATAATACGTGTCTTCAAAGAAGTGCTAGTGTATTTTGTGACCACTAAGTAATGTCTGGATTACTAGGTAAGGATGGGAAATCTATTGATGAGGTAATACATCTTCATCAACTAACGTGGTTAGCACAAATGTTATCTATAGCCAAGCACCGCTTAGCGAAATGCACGATTTTGTTTGATGTAAAAGTAAGCTAGGGAGGGTGGTGATCAAACCAAAATATAGGATCAGTTCATGAAGTCAATGGGAATTGGACTGAGTTATGTAGCATCTAGTTTCTTTAAAAAGTATTATTTACCTTGACAAAAATCAGGAATTTCTGCTTGATAAGCGTGACCAACATTGATATGCCTTACAAATAGAGAAATAAAAGCAAAGAAATCAAAAGTCGTAATCAAATAAACAAATATAAAACGATCAGTATAAGAGATCTTAATAAGATTGTAGAATTTTATGGTTCACATTACAAACTTCTAATACCAATTATAATAATATGCTCGGTAAGTTGTGATGTATTTCTTGGAGTTTAAACAAAAAGTGAAGTTTGACCTCTTCGTGTATCAGTCAGTTATATACTAATGGTATTAAATGAAATCATTGAAATTACATATGTAAACTAATAGATGTCAGTTCAGAAGTCCAAACATTGAGGGTTTCCTGCTAGGTCCTACGTCCGATCTTTGATGAAGTAGCAAATTCGCATTGGCATGCAGTCTGATACTAGGATGAAGCAGCTGTCGGGAACTTCCTAGTTTTCATTGGTTGTTTCAATAAGATAATTTCGTGATGCAAACTATAACTATACGATTAATCTTAAACACATTGACATAATAAAAGCACTTGACAAGATTTTTGCAGTTCCATTCAAAATCACTTTCCTCAGTTGTATACTTATGTGGTAATATGAATACTATATTTACGATCTACATAATACTGCCACGAACCTATATTTTGGCTACTAATTTGAATTTCATATCCGCTGAAGAATTACAATATGCACATTATATTAGGTAAGTGTTAATTGAGAAATATGAGGAATTCTTTTTTCCTATCGCTAGAAAGACCTAGAATTATCTAATTTTTACAAAAAAATCTAAATATTCTTTCGTGTAACCCTAATCGCGATAACATTAATCCAGATTCATAATTCTGTACGATCTTTGCTTTCGTTGAAATGCACTATTAAACATCAACTATTGTTAATAACGTAGATGGCCCAAAATGCTCTGGCACGACTGAGGTTAGTGAGAGTCTGCTTTTCCTCTCGGAATTCTCTCACATGGCTATGAGTAAATGACCACTGTTAGGGAAGGCCTACTCACTGACTTATGGTGGCAGGGGTGTTGTTAACGAAATTAAGAGGATGAAATGTGAATGTCCGGCGTTTTAACCGGGTTGGTGGATATGGGGAGTCTACTTAGGGGAGTTGGAAAACCCTGATTTCAAATCAATGGTGCACATGGGCTTCTGGATTCTGACCGAATATTCCATCAGAACACTAAAGAATCTGAATAAAGTCAGAACAATAATTGTAAGAGAATAATGTAAATTCATTTCTCATCAGCTGCTTATAACCATCTATGTATCCGTATGACATTTAAAACCTAAATTCATGATTTACTTGATTATACAAGACCAGAGTGTGCCATAAATACAAAATCTAAGTCACTAAATAACTGAGATATGTTGATAAAGACCTGGGCTACAAGTGTTTAAGTGATTGACTGACAATTTAAAGACACGCAAACAATAAATGAACCGAAAGAATGCTAACAATTACATTTACATAAGTTCACCATAAAACGACTATTTAATAAACAATGTTCATCAGAAAAGTATAGAAAGCAATCAAAAGGAAGATAGATGTCTCCATCTCACATTTCTTTTCATTACATCTCTTCCTAATAAATACGTTAATAAATAAAAAATAGAGAAAATTCGTGGTGATGATCAGGCTAACCATGACTTAAAGTTGCCAATCATAGATGTCGCTTACTTGTGGTGGTCAGGCTTGCTTAAGTTGATAATAACCTAATCGGATTATATTTGACTAAGATTTGTCTGGATATTGATAATGATAAAAGAAGTAAACTCATGGTCCGAGGGTGAAGTTGTACTGGCGACTGTACACGAATGTGATGGTAGCAAGGTATTTATTTCTTTTAGACAACCAGCCTCCACAGTGATGCTATATTCCAACAATGAGGTCGTTAGGAAAGATTGGATCTAAAAATAGAGTACCTCACTTTTTTCCTATAGGGTTCCATTGTTGGCAGTAAAGTTTAAAATGTACGGAGCTAATGCACTAAAAGTCCTCACAAGATGGCCGTATGCGACTGGCTCTAGACAGTTATTCCACGAACACTGCAGTGACACTTCTAGGTCGTCAACTGCACCCCTGACCCAGTTTTCTTTACAGATCGTCTATAATATATATGCTTCTACAGTGTGGGGAAGCAGGAAATAGCAAATCTACACAGACTTGCGACATGAGTGTTCAAATTAAAGTAGGTGAAGCAGGGATTGAACCTAGGATACCATGATGAAAAGTAGAATGCTTTGACTATCTAGGCTATCACACTTCATTCATCTCGATTATTTGCGTAAAAAATATAAAATTTAAAATATAAAAAATACTCACGGAATAATACTAGTTGGAACACCTTCTTCATCGTCATCATCCTCTTCATCCTCCATTTCATGCTCCGAGTCTAATTCAACATCGCTATTAAATTGTAGTGTGGTTTCGGAATAGTTTGTCTCCTTAGTTTTCATTTCGAAATCAAAATTTAACAATTGTTCATCAGCAAAGTTGAAACTGTGATCAGTTTTATTAAGAATTGATTCATTACTGTTATTATTATCATCATCGGTAGGAGTAGTAGTAGTAACATGATGATTGATTTGATCATTATATGCATTTATTTCAGTATCATGTCGACGACGCAGATAACGGTTATCTTGATGTTGTTTTTGTCTATTTAACCGATAGGCTTCATCAGCTTCCGCAAAACGGCGCATAGTCTCATCATCATAACCAAATACGGTATCAGTGTTAGAGAATTGTTGTTGTTGAGATTGAAGTGATAATTCATTGTCTTGAAGATCTCTTGATTGATTTGCCTACAGTGAAGGAAAAAAAAGCAATCATGAAATGAAATGGTCATAAGAAAACATTTATCAGTTTTCATAACGAGTTCATCATACAGTTGAAGAGACCATTGAAAACTAAAGAGAACGAGTATATTGAGTAATTATTTTGCTATGGTATGTAAATCTTAGACGATGTAACTATATGTTTGTAAATACAATCGGCATCAGAATCAGGTATTTCTTATAACATAGCCTACACACCATATCCTATTCACTATACAGTAGAACAACAGATATATTTATCAATCATGAGTGCGTTAACGCATGAATATAGGTACGTTTTGAAAAGCTTTTATTCAGTTACAAGCCAGTTTTCATTCGAATTTTATGCAAAACTCAAACAATAACTACATTGAATCTGATTGGTTCGTCGTTGAAATATGGTTTGATTGTTTAATTGGTATGTATCCACGACCTTATAGCCAGCATGATATCAGGAATAATTAGTTCTCAAAACGAGTACAACATACGTTAGTTTAGTGATCTAGAATTCTAGGTTTTACATTTTTAACTTCAATCATAAAACAGGATACTCTTGATATTAAAGTAAGTATCCGTTTAAAAGGTCAGTCAGTCAGTTACAACGTAGGACCAGGCACATATGTGCATCGGTACAAGTTAACATATCTCATTAGCACAACAACATGAACACCAAATTCATAGCAGCAATCAACTCGATGGTGTAATATATAAAGGCAGAATTGCATATAAGGATATGGTACAAGAAGAAAGTTAGTTCGTAGAAAGAAAGATATGAAATAATTTGAGTCTCATAGTTTAAGGGAAGACAACGAATGTATACACCTACGCCATTATGATCGATTATAAGCAACGTCACACACAGTCTCCAACCATTGGTTACGATAGTCACGCGGACCCCAACCAAGTAGTCTGCATCTACCAACATGGCTCAGACTAGAAGTTAGTGACTTCAAGCACTGATGTACTTTTTTAGACCATTTATGCATGATTCAATTGATAAGCCCTTAACTTAATCTGAAAGCGCCTTTAGTGTGTTGACACCAAACCATAGAATCGTACTGAATTGGTCGAAACACTCAATACACGACCAATGAGTTGTATGATGTACATATGTCAATAAGAGACTAATCAATTGCAGTCCTGAACAACAATAGGAAGATACAAACAAACAACATCAAGTGAGATTAAACTTCACCCTATTATACAAGCAAGTAACTATCATTACTCAGTAGCTAAGTGAATAAAGCGATAGCGTTTGAAGCGAACAGTACTGGGTTCAAGTCCAGGAGTGAACATCAACTCTGAGATGCAGGTACATCCAGCTAATTAGCCCTAAATAGGACGAGACGCGCATCCTGGATTCCACTGTTAGCCACTATTCATCTTTGCTTCCAAATATTATTTTCTGAATGCTTTTCAAAGCAAATTTATCATCACCAACAAGATCTTTGATTGTTGATTCTGTGTTTAACTCATTCTCTATTAAATATGATTATACTTGGAAAAAAACATAGTGAATTTAACTAGAGGGAATAATATCTAAGTAGACGATAAGTATATATCAACAACAACAACAACAACCACCACCATCGCCACCACCACCACCACCACCACAACAACAACAACAACAAGATTGAATAAACCGACAACTTGAACATGTAATCAAATAATTTTGTTTAAATTATTATCCCAGATCTATTATGTATGTTTGTTGTTTTAAATAACAACACTAAATTAATTCATAGGTAAAATACAAGTCAATTAATCATTTATAGTTTATATGGTCCAATAGATACAAGATGGAGTTATACATACATACATACATACACACAAACTAGTAGATAACAGATATGAAAGATTTTACATCCGAATAACTAACAAGAACACTCCAATATACTCTTTTAATATAAGGAAATTTGAAACAAATAAATAACATCAGAAGGGGGTTTTTGTGGATGTTATAGTAATTTCAATAGTTGAGATCATGAATTGTATGAGATCGATAGATCCTAGGTTCGAATCTCGTGAGGCGAGATCGTTGATGTGCACTGTTAAGGAGTCCCACAATAGGACGACGAAACGGCCAGTGCTTCTAGGTTTTTCATAGTGGTCTAGTTTCAATTGGCTCATGATCTCAACAATTGAAATAAATAACAGTATAGAAAGATTTATGAAGATTGTGAAATTTCCAACTTAAATTACGAGTTGGTCTTAGATCATCATTAAACACCGGAAAGTATTAAACAGATATTTTGTTGCAGTACGTGCATATTCACGACCTCACAATAAGAAACTGAATCTAGGACCAACGGTTTCGAGGGTGAACGCTTAACCTCTAGGCCAGTGAGCTGTATAACTCCAATCAATTCATGATATTGCGATAGCATCATCTTCCACTCGATGCGTTGACTAACTGTACAGAACCCGACAGAAATGAACTCTATTGATTAAAATTGTGAAAATCCTAAAATCTCCAATAAAACGTCTATTGATAATAATCTTATTTTCATTAGTGACCAGCTTCAAGACGCGATTCCTGGAAATCTAAAGAGAAGTCGTGACCGGTGGAGTTGAACCAAATCGGTTGTGAAAGAGTTAACCACTGCAGGTAATGGAAGATGATCGCGCAATATCGTGAATTGATTGAAGTTAAACATATTTTTATCCTACAGATGTCATACAACTCGAAAAACAGAACAGACACGCACATAGCCAAATAGATAATCAATTGATAGGTACATAAACAGATGGATACAGCTATTAGATAGGCAAATATGTAGATAACGTATAGAAAGATAAACAGACAAAGATGCTTAGGAGTGAACATCAGAACTAGCTACAAAAGGAGTGAGCGATGAACTTGTCTTATCCATATTTTAGAAATAAAAAAGTTACAGTATCTAATCGATGTTTTGAGACATGATCGAGTAAAGAACAGCTTTCATATAATACCTTACGTTTGTGTGAGTGTGTATTTATGGTACTGTTGAGTATTCATCAAGAATCGACATGTAAGCTGATAAAAAATAGAAAACCAAGGGACCTTGATTGTGAACTTTGGAGAAATATCCACCTAAGGAACATCGAACTTACGGCCTTTAAAGCTTTCAGCAATCGAATAATTCTCTTCAGATATTGGTATACGGACATTCTCAGGTTTAGGGTTTCATAAGCATCGAGCAAAATTATTCATCATAAAAGCGTTGGTTATCGAACCTTTTTATGATTAAATCTATGTAACAGCAGAGATTAAATTAATTCACACTAATAGAAGTCATGTATCTTTCATTGGACGAAGATTAATATTATTCGCCAAACGACTACCTAAAAACCTGAAGGTCTTGATTGCCGAATGTGAAAGTGAGAACGAATTCTGTTATCGTCAACTAATTGAATGAAAATATCACTATGATGCAACGGATAGTAAAAATTCCAATCGCTTACTCAAGATTAAAAAAAATTCTATTTCGCCAAATAACAGACCTACACGTATCCATCACAAAAATATCTCAAAAGTGATTCTGAAATATCATCTTGAAACACCGGCTTTGATGTTTTAGATGAACATACGAATGTCATCTCAGAGAATCTCACATTGTCCATCGTTTCCTCAAGCTGTAACTAGGTGGAAAAGTGATGATTTTATTACACGAAAGTCGTATTCCTAGATATGGTGCGACTCAATGACTTGTGATGTTATCAGACATGATTCAGAATAATAGACAATAGCGATCCTACTTTAGCTTTCTCTTACAATCTTCATTAAGATGAGAGATACTATATGAATCGATAGAAATCCCTGTAGGCTGTATCTGTAACGGGAATGTATCTTCTACTATACACCATAATTGTTTATTTATTCTTTTATTTTGTTGTATTGCCTTTACCTCTTCTGACTTTCCAGAATCTGATCTCTTTATTTTACCCAGTGTATGCTACTTTTAATGTTCAGCTGTACCAGATTTTATGTACTAAGTAACAGAGAAATAAAAATAGTACGAATTTCGGAAGTAGTGAATATAGAATGATTTAAGATTAAGTTACTGTAGTATTCATAAACAAAGCTTCACCTTCATATGAGATTCATACACACACATGCGTAATTCAGTACAATAATAAGTAATGCAATTACTCAGCAGTTCCGACAGAAATTGATCACTAAATGTTGTACACAAAAGTACATTAGAGCTATAGATGAAAATTGTAAAGAAAACTTACCGAATTCTTTGTCGTATTACAGTTAAGAATTAACACAGGAGCCGACTTAGGTGTGAGCTGTTGACGTCGTCTACGTGTATAGGCTATTGGTCGATTTATATCACGCATATATAAGTCAGTGATTGAGCCTGTATTGTTATTGTCATAACTATTATTATTAGTAGTGCCAGTAGATATATTATTACTAGAATCTACCATATTAATACTCTGATTCGAAGTACTAATCTCACTGGTAGTGCTCCTAGTACCACTGCTACTTGCATGACGTCGTTTCAACTGACCACCACTGCCAGTGGCACACATATTAGAAGTAATAGGAATAGTAGTAATTTCTGAGTCATTATGATGGGAGATCGACGAAGAATAACTTGAGAATCGACGATTTATCAGTGTACCACTTCCAACAGAACGAGCTCCTGTCGACGTCGTCACTGATGTTCCTCCCCCTGATACTGCTGTAGGAGTTGGCACCCATCGTGATAATGAAGAAAATAAACCAGAACCTTGACGGATTGGACTGAGCATTGGAGGTGGTGTATATGGTGGAGGACTAGAATTAAGTGAAGATCGTTTTGAACTCCATACACGTGGAGAACGTAATCTTGACAAATTTGCACCGGTCTAGAGAAAATAATCAAATTGAAGAAAGTTATTTGGTTCAATTATTACTAACCAAAAAAACTAATGAAATGTTTCATTCTTGAATTTGAAACATGTTTAATTCATTTAGAAATTGTCATTCTTACAATTCAGAAAGAATTCATGTTGACCTTTATTCTAATTAACTGTGGGCTTTCATCAGTTAACTGATAAAAACATAAGATGTTATCTTATGTTTAAGTGCTTAACAAAGTTATCGTCTTAAACAGATCGATGTAAGCAAATTGGCTATAGCTTCTGTTCCAAGTTAACATCAAGCAGAGTTAGGATTAAGGCTAGCTATGGACCCATCCAAAAGTATAGTTGAACATTTGCTGCGATTGCATTGCATCATGAAAATAGAGAGTAAAAGTGTTTAGAGCTTTGTGAGACGTCCAGCTTATGAGCACTGGCTTCCTATAGGCTCCTTACAACTTGTTAAAGTACATCGGTCTACTCCGGCAAACCTCGAATTTGACAACAAACGAGGATTGTTATGTAGTGAAATTGTGCAAAGCTTGCGTAAAGACCGAGAAACCCATTGGCCAGAGTATGCTAACGAGTTGTAAACACCAGCTGTATCTGGTAATTGACGGACAGTTTGTCATTTCAGGTCTAAAGGTTTCTTAACTTGTCATTACCACTTTCGAACAGTATTAAACAGATATTAGTCAGTAAGCTGAATGTAAGTAGATGAAACGGCATTTGAAGCTGTGATCCAATGTTTGGTAATAGACTAAATATTTAATTGATTAATTAACATTTTAATTAAATTACTGTACTAATTTATACATACGTTGCATATCATATTTATTTATTTTAACACATAGATATTGGTACAAGGAGGCACCAAATACATATACACCACACAGATCTCATTTGATATGTGTGAGGGCTGTGATACTGTTCAGGTGCCTAAACAGAAACAGGTGATTTTCTTAGGGAGCCACACCTCGAGCCTTCGACCTGAACGTCTGACCCACAAGGCGGTGGAGCATCGTAAGGAGATGTAGTCCCATGGTAGCCAATGACCAACGATTGGTTCATACGCTATTTGTTCCTTCAGGATACTGGAGCCAGCCCATGTGCACCATTGGTTTAGGATCCGGTTAAAGCGCCAGACTTTCGCTTTTCATCCTCTCATTTTCGTAAACAACACCCGTGGTGAGAGAATGCAGTGAGTAGGACTTCCTTGGCAGAGGCTATATACGTGTGGCCATGTGAGAGCATTTCGAGAAAGAGAGCGGACTCTCCCCACTCATATTCATTTTGAAGAATATAATCACCATAAACTATGTGACTCGGTCAAATCTGTGCCAGAACGTAATATTCTAATTTAGAACTATTGGACAATAGAAATTATGATATATGTGCATTGGCTCAAGTTACCATACCACACATGAACAATAAGACGAATAACAAAAGGGATGAAAATTATACATTATAAATCATTATGAGAAGTATTCAGCAACGAGAACATAGATCGAAAAAGAAATGAGACGGAATACAGGAACTGAAAATCTAGAGCACGACGAAGTATAAACGCTTCTGAGCTAATGTGGTTGTTTCTAACCCATATCATCCAAGTTCTTTAGTTACAGCATGGATAGCAACAAGGCAGTTTGTATCGACTATCCCTGTACATTCTTCCAGCTTACTCCTACAACAGACAACCTTGGAGTTAAGGTAAGGTCAACATATGATGAAACAAACGGCAAGTGAAGTCTATCAACACAACTTATACATTTATAAGCTATAACTGTTGAGAAGATAATAGGTATTCTTCGAAAAAGTTCAGAGGGACCGTGAAAACATTATATCTAATCAGCCTTAAATAGAAGTTTCACAAGAAATACCTATCCATTAGATAGAATATGATAAATATCAACACAAGGGTTTGTTGAGAAAATTGGTTTCAGTAACATTTGACAATTACTACAAATCCCTATACTGAAAATGACTCTCGACCTATAGAAAATATCAATCAATAAAGCCGGAATCCGGAATAAGAATAAAAGATAAAAATCAACGATAACCAATCAAGATCCACAGGATAAGGTTTAAGTTATATGTGTAGAAAGTGGAATTTCTCAGTCCTACCTGAAGTTAGTGCAGATGTTGAAGTTCAGAAAATCTGTGAAGGCTTTATGACTATATCATCTACAACAGAATACGAAACTACATCAAAATCACTCATCCTAGCTAAAAATCCCCTTCACTAACTCTTTTATTTGACAAGCTTTTGTGTTTAAAGTCAGTATCAACAAATTGAGTCTCACAATTACCCACGACACATAATTATTTTCATTTTTATCAATAAATGTTTATGGTCGTTCGGGCAAGGATGACTTCAACTAAACAACCATTAATACTAGAAACACTGGATATGTGCCTCGTTCTAGCATGTAACTACCTAGCGATAAGCACCCATGTGGCTACCTGAAACAGCAGTAAGAACCTCTAGGACTCGTTGCAAGTCCCATCTTTCAGTTCACTAGGTTAGTTGTCAAGCGACTAGAGTTAGGAGTGCAAATTGCTTGACACCAGATCAGCGGTCTGAAGTTCAGGAGTTCGCTACAAGGTCTGAGTGATCTTGGTTCAATTCCTGACGGGTTTGTGAATGGACAACCTTGAGGAGCAACATATTGAGACAAAACACATGTTTAGTGCATTCTGGATTTTAGTGGTTATCTGGTTGAAATCAGTTTGCAAATAAAACAAAAAAAATTTAGAAAAAAGACATCTTACTTGTGGAGGAATTGAAATAGGCGCTGGTTTACTTTTCATTTTTTTCGGTGGCGGTAACGCTGTTGGATTACGGAATAAATTATCTTCAGCTAATGATTTGGAAAGTTTTGCTGCAACCGAATCATTTCCTGAATCGCAAAGATACTTATTATTAGTGTTATTATTATTATTATTGCATGTTGTCTGACTTGTTGTTTTTTTGATTATTTCACCATGATCCTCACAGTTGACCATATTGTTATTTTGTGTAATCGATGGTGGTACAGTCAGGTCCAATAATTCAGACTGATTTAAATTGGACACTGAATATGAAGAAGTAATTGGAAGGTGTAAACTGATAGGCAATTTTTGATGTTGTTGTTCATGATGATGATGATGAGTTGGCACTTTCGAAAAGTGCTGTTGTTGATGTTGTTCAATACTTAAATCTTCTATATCCATAGAACGAAATGAATTAGTCATTAAATGTGAATCGGTACATGAAAAGAAAGATGTTGCTTCTTCTTGTGATATCGATGATAATGAAAACGGTAATACTGGTGGTGATGTTGCCGGTGATAATGATGGCACTAGAAATGATGATGATGATGACGACGATGATGGAATACATGTCATTTTATTAGTTGGAAATATACTTGACATGTTGTTCATAATATTTATTGGTCGATATAAACATTCATCTTCTAAAATAGAGAATGACTGGTCAACCGTTTCCGATGCAGATCTTGCTGCTAATAAAGGTTTTTGATGTTGTGACGGCAGTGGTGGTTGGTGTGCTAGTGCTGGTGATGGGACAGGAGTTAACGACAGTTCTGGTGTTGTTGGACAAGAATTATGCATATCACATGTTAATGATGATAATCCATCTGGATCAGTAATATGGCTAAAGACGAAAAACAAACAGGTGGAAGAAAATACATGTGTATCCCCATGAGCATGATAACTTTAGACTAGTAATAATGGTTATATTATATTATGAACTGACTGGAGATGAAAATTTAACCCTCTAATTTCGACAGAATCCTCATCGCAGTTGACAAGCTGAGGTGGTGCCCAAGTTTGCATATCGTGATGACCCGCTTGATTTACATAGTGTGAAACATTTATGCTTTTAATTCATACATCTAACCCATTGTAACTGATTTTGAGCCATATCATCCAAATCACTTGGTATTGTTTACTTGTATCTTCCCATTAATGTTTAGGACTGAAACTGATCAGTCCCTCATTGCCAAATAATGTATGGTTTTCATATTTTACGAAGGCAATTTGTAATTTTGAATAAAACAATAAATTGGTTTTCCCACACGAGATTTCGTTTACTACACTAAGAATATGGTCCGGAAGAACAATAGATGGTTTTACAGACTGATCCCATATTTTGCCTTGGATGACCACACAATATTTTCAAACTATTGCTACTCTAGCCAATATTTGGCATTGAGGTAGAAATGGTTATTGGACATACGTCGTACATGTCCTAGCCACCTTATTTGACAAAGATTCACGTTTTCAGTCACCGATTTACGTTGTTTGCATAGTACTATACGTTTAACTTTATAATAGCTAACTTCCTACCGTAAGCCACTAGTGCTTTAAAAACAATCATGGTAAAAAAACTGTAATATTTATACCTCTACTATTTTCATAGATCATATTCCATAGCTATATCGTAATAGAGAGTTAACTGGGGAGAGTTTGAAAACCGTGATTCCAAACCAGTGGTGTACATGGGCTCTAGTATCTTGAGGGAAAAAATGATGTATGAATATGTTATTGGTCACCGGCTACCATAGGACTGCATCTCCTTACGTTGCTCCACTGCCTTATGAATCAGACCTTTAGGTCGAAGGCTCCAAGTGTGGGCCTCCTAAAAAAAAAACTCACCTGTTTCGGTTTGGGCACCTAGGCAGTATCACAGTTCTCACACAAATCAAATGAGATTTGTGTGGCCAATATGTATATGATGCCCCCTTGTATCAATCTCTATGTGTTCAAATAAATAAATGAAGTAGTTCCAGAGGAGAGAATTAAAAAGAAGTATGTATAGTTATTTCCAATGGACGTTAAGAGTGTTGAAGTCACTGAGTTAAATGGTTTGTTTGTAAAGTTTTTACTATTCATTTGAACAACATCATAAGCATGTACATTAAAAAGAAGTGATTTATTAGAATTTTTCTAATACAATCAATTAACACTCTCTCTTATTGACCTGAAATTTGAATTGTTGTTATCTATAACTGTGTGGTTGCTGTTTAGACGTTTGTATTGGCAATTTATCTAATGACCTGAACATCTACATTAACATGAAAACTAAGTGAGTTGTTAAAAGACATGACATCACTCAGTCAGCTACAACGTAGAACCACACACATATATGCATCGGTACAAGTTGCCATATCTCATTAGCACAACAAACTAAACACCAAATTCATAGACGTAGTTACTTCAATGGTAGTAATATATAAAAGAAAGATTGTGTATAAGGATATAGTACAGAAAGTAAGTATCAGTTCGTAGAAAGAAAGATATAAAACAATTTTAATCTCATAGTCTAAGGGAAGACAACGAATGTATACACCTACGCCATTGTGATCGATTATGAGCAACGTCACACACAGTCTCCAACCATTGGTTACGATAGTCACGCGGACCCCAACCGAGTAGTCTGCATTTACCAACATGGCTCACATTTGAAGTTAGTGACTTCAAGCACTGATGCCAAGTTTTGGTTTAACCACCCCTAACTTTCTTTCAACCATTCCTAACACTAGTCAGGATTGCGTGTCGTAGTAATCGGTGTTCAGGCATACGTAACGCGTGGCTCAAACATCTCAGTCGATGTTAATTCACAACCTGATCAACTGATTTACCATCATTTCCTAATACCCTATGTCTAACCTCACTATTACTTACCCGGTGATCATGGGTTCGACTAAGAAAACGTCAAAATAGTGAACAGAGGAAATACGAAGAAAGTCAACAGATATATGAAAATAGATCAAATATTTCATTCGAAATTAGAACTCCTCCTTGAAATTTAAGTACGCACGTTTAAAAAGTACAGAATATTACCTGGATGAAAAAAAGTGGGTCTTAAACTTTAAACAACTTGGATATTGACATTCACAGTGATTCTAATTTGAACAGATCTCTTCTGAGTACAAATCTATTTTTTTTTTCAATAAATCGATGAAATTACACTGAACAGAATGAATGAGTTATAAATCTGTGACTAGTGAAGCTAATCCGTGTCGGGTAGAAACAGGTGTCTATCTCAGTACAATGGAAGATGGTTGCGCAACTTCGTGGATTGGTTGAGGTTAAACATTAACACCATTGGATGCCAGCTCAGTGGTTTAGTAGGTTAAGCGTTCGTGCACGAGACTGAAGGTCCTGGGTTTGAATCCCGTGGGATGGGATCGTCAATACGCACTTCTGAGGAGTCACACAATTACACAAAACGGCCGTCCACTGCTTGTAGGTTTTCAATGGTGATCTGACATCATCTCCACTACCCCTATACTGATATTCACTACACACAAATTTACACCAATGATATATAAGTTAAATTTAGTACAGTATAGTTCAGAATAGATAGTATAAACAAAGAGAATAATGTAAGGTTGATAGAAAAGGATCATATCAGCAACAAGATATAACAAGAAATTAACAATAATAATAATAATAATATGTACAAGTCAACAAATAAATACAAATAACCACTAGAATAATTTACAAGATCAACTGTGATTTCCCTCTACTCAATGTTAAAAACAAACAAAATCAGATCAATGATATGAGGTATACATATATACAAATATAGATGGTTAGACCCTAAGAATGATGACCAATCATCATTGAATGATCAATGGAATATTACATTAGAAGGAATAGTTTAACTTGTGTTGTAGAACAATAACAACAACAACAACAACAACAACAACAAAGATATTATGATTATTATTCAAGGGAAACACAAGTTGAGTTCATGTATGTGTTTGTGTGTGTGTGTGTGCGTGCATAGATATATGAATAGACTGATGATAGAACAATAACGAGTAGATAGGTATGAACTTGTGCTATATCATACAAATTTATAATTTATGATCATATCTGCCTGTATATGTACTTCATAGACAGTAAGTGGATGAGCGGAAAAGAGAGCGCGCGCGCGAGAGAGAGAGAGAGAGAGAACGAGAGTATAACGAGTAAACTGATTAATACACGAAAAATCCTTTCACATGAAAAATATAACCTGATATGTTTTTCCTACTTAATTAATATAATAAGCATGAAAAATAGATTGTTTTATATAATATAATGTATATATACATACATAATAATGATTGAATAGACTAATATGTTTAACAGTGAAATGAATTAATCAACATATAGAATGTTTCACTAGTTAAAATCATGAGTCCATTGAAGCTAGACCACAATGGAAAACCTGGAAGTACTGGATGGCAGTTTTGTACTAGTATGACACTACTCAGCAGTGCGCACCAACGATCCTGTCCCCCGTGAGATTTGAACCGAGGACCTATCAGTCTCGCGAGCAAGCGCTTAACCATTAGACTATAAAAATTTCTAAAATCTCCACAAAACCACTTCTCATTATAATCATCTGCTCACTAGTGACTGACTTTAACAGGCATTTCCTGGAGTTCTAGTGAGAAGCCGTTACCAGTGGAGTTCAACCAGGTCTGTTGTGAGATATTAGCTCACTCAATTTCGTGGATTGGTTGAAGTTAGACATTAACACCGTTGGATACCGGCCGGTTCAGTCGTCCAATGGTTAAGTGCTCGCGCGCGAGACTGATAGGTCCTGGGTTTGAATCTCGTGAGGTGGGATCGTGGATGAGCACTGCTGCGGAGTTCCACAGTAGGACGAAACGGCCGTTCAGTGCTTTTGGGTTTTTGATGGTTGTCTAGCTTCAATTGATTCATGATTTCAACTAGTGAAATTTCTAAAATCTCCATAAAACTCCTCATATAGAATATTATCAGAAGGGGTTTTGTGGAGTCAATTGATGCTAGATGCACTGATAAAGTGTCTTACATAGAATATTACATACATTAACACTAACGGATGTAGATATAAATTTAACATGAGAACATACTAAGATATTGTAGATTGGATGAAGTTAAACATTAACACAGTGGTCTAAAGGTTAAACGTTCGCATAAAAAACCAAAAATCTTGAGTTCGAGTCCCGTGAGCGGGATCACGGCTGCTCACTGCTGAGGAGTGTTAGACTAGGACAAAACGACCGCCTAGTGTTTTCAGGTTTCCGATGATGGTCTAATATTGATCAGTTCATGATCTCAACAATAAGATGAATTTGCAAACATTGTTGAATGAGAAAACAACTGAACAATGTCAGACAATTACCTTTTATTAATAAACTTTTATGAAATGATAAAAAAAAAACAAATATTGTAGTGAGATGAAGTGGGCATACTAAATCGTTCACACATTGATTTGTGGAAATAAATGTATAACATTGCATAGTTATTTAGTTAGTTCACTAATTACGATAACTTTTTATACTCATTTGAGCTGAACTAGTAGATGAACGAGTGTGTGTGTGTGTGTGTGGGAGAGAGAGAGAGATGATGATGGTAACGTAAATGAATATAAGAATTAGGTGTGTATTATTATAACTACTGGAGAACTAATGAGAAATGTAAGAGTAATTATCAAATAAACACGGCTAGAACTAACCTTTGCATTAACAATTCGGCAACCACATCACTTGACGGTTGATCACCAGCAACTCCTTCACTAAAACTAGTACCTTTGCAATAATGACCGCGATGATGATAATGATGATGAACACGATAATGATGATTATGATATTCCGGTAGACAGAAATAAGATTTATTCATAAATTCATTTTTATGGCTCATTAAAGCTGATGATTGTAAATGGGACTGTGGATTACCATGACAGGTTAATGGTGAAATTGATGAATTATGGGACGATAATGATAATGGTACAGATAATGAAGATGATGAGGATGATAATGATGGCCAAGAGGATTGTGATGAAATACTATTAACTGCTGGTGCAGAAATATGTCGTTTCCTTTCAAGTTCTAAACAGGTTAAACAACAATGACTTCTAGATGTATGCTTTGTAAATGATTCCGGTTGTTCATTACGACGGAATAAATGTTTGTAATTATGATCGTTATTATTAACATTATTTTTAGTAGTATTATTACTTATATTATTAGGATTTCGTATAGAACCATTCATATGATTAAGTTGATTGTGCAATAATAATTCGGATCCATTGAAAAAGCGACAATTATCGATTTTATCCAAACAAGAATAAATTCCATGGTTCGATGAGGAAGAGGTGGATGACATAATTGGATACTTTGTTGGTTGTTGTTGATGGTGATGGTAGTGATGATGATGATGTGGTAGTGGTGGTGGTGGTGGAAAAGAATAAAGATGTTCTTGTTCAAGATGCAACGTGGACGATAATGGTGGTCCAAGGAGTGGTTGTTTGTACTGTAATCGATTTCGACTTAAATTAAAGCAATTATTTTCATTTACTGATAATGAGTATTGATTACTACTACAACCATGAGTAGTATTAGTTGCATTGATTGCATGAATGAAATTTGAAGATGTTGCAATAGACAGTGAAGAAGTTGTTGTAGCTATTGTTTTAGCTGATGAATTACAACATGATGATAATGTCATATTCATTACAGAACAACAATTTGGATTCAGTAATGAAATACATGTGGAAGGCATAAAAATACTATCATTATTACGCACTGCAGAAGTATTATTAAATTCATGTGTGGATTGACGTGTAAAATCCATACTTCCTAATGAATTTACAACAGGTTGATAATATGAATATTGAGAACAAGTATGTAACGATGGTTCTGTATTCCGTCGACAATTTGTACTATTATTATTAAAATGATCAATACCATTTCCTTGTTCATGATATGGACGACGATTAGGGTAATATGATGAACTTGACGGTGGAATGTCTACATTTAAAATAAACATAATAAATACGAAACTTAATTTATAAAACTTAAGGTAAGATGTTTTATGTAATATCTTAGAGCTAGGACATTGTTAGGTGTATAGTTATTTTCAGGTTACGAACGACTGAGATTGTATTTTGCAAGAACGTGAACTTATCTCAACACAAACGTATGTCTACTAATTGAAACACAAACACCATGAAACCCAGGAAGAGAATAGGAGTGTAGCACTGAGCAACAATGCCAGAATGTTTGGGATGCGCTTCTCTCCCTCTAAATGCAAGTTGTTGCTTCAGGACTGGTCTGCGTCAACACCTGAACTAAGGATAGGGGATGAAGTAGTCGAACGCGTCGACAACTTCACTTATCTTGGAAGTCTGATCAGCTCGTTTGGCCTTTGCCAACTTACGTCATTCATGGCGAAGGCGAGATATCCGTCTATCAATTAAGGGACGAGTATACTGCGCGGCAGTTCGCTCCGTTCTACTATACGGCTGCGAAACATGGCCTTTAAGTGTAGAAGATACTCGTAAGTTACTAGTATTTGACCACAGATGCCTTAGAAATATTGCTCGCATCTGCTGGGATCACTGGGTAAGTAATAGTGAGGTTAGACGTAGGGTATTAAGGAATGATGGTAAATCAGTTGATGAGGTTATGAATCTTCATCGACTGAGATGGTTGGGCCACGTGCTGCGTATGCCTGAACACCGATTACCACGATGCGCAATGCTAAACGGTGTTAGGGATAATTGGAAGAAAGCTAGGGGCGGCCAAACCAAAACGTGGCATCAGTGCTTGAAGTCACTAACTTCTGGTCTGAGCCATGTTGGTAGATGCAGACTGCCTGGTTGGGGTCCGCGTGACTATCGTAACCAATGGTTGGAGACTCTTGATGACATGGCTCAGAATCGATCTCAATGGCGTCGGTGTATACACTCTCTGTCTTCCTTTAAACTAAGAGATTAAAATCACTTCAAATCTTTCTTTGTACGAACTAATTCTATCTTCTTGTACTTTATCCTTATACACACTCTTTCTTCTATATATTACCACCACTGAATTAACTACTTCTATGAATCCGGTGTTGATCTTGTTGTGCTAATGCGGTATGGCAACTTGGACCGATGCATATACGTGCCTGGTCCTACGTTGCAGCTGACTGACTGACTGATAGGAGTGTAGAAAATTATTGCTATTCGAGAAGTTAATAAAACAAAATTGAAGTAGTACTCCGTAAATAAAGTGGAAGAAAAAACCCTTGAGAAATATGGGAAAATTAACCGAGTAAAAGTGATATGTAACATCAATTAGAAGAGGAATGCATGGCAGCAGAAGGTAATGAAGGTCGAATTGAAAAAAAAAAACAAAGAGATGGAAATAGAAAGGAATTGTGATTTATGCAGAATGTGAAGAACAAATGATGAAAGATATGTAAATGAAGTATTCTTATATTTTACCAAGAGATTGTTTTAAACAATAAATTGGGCACCTAGATATGTGTTCTCATTCACAACAACAACAGGATAGATGTTTACATATAATCACTTGATCCAACTGTTAGAAGTACACATATACTTAAAGGACAAATTAACCAAAAAAAAAGGTACGTGAAAATTTTGAAAATCAGGATCGAACAGCAAATGAAGAGTGAATGTGATCTGTCTCACTGAAAACGATTGTGAGTCAATGTTACCTAATGTCTACAGTCACTGGTTACGTAAAGAGCACCATAATGGTAGTACACATTAAACCAATAATTAATGACATCATAAATTGATACTGAGTCTTGATTTGGGCGCCTTTTATTTTCTCCGTGATAACCACTATCAATAGTTGGAAACGTTGAATAGAATAGCTTAAAATCGGTTACAGATGTATTCACTTTTCATCTTGTGCTAAATCTTAATCTTCAACATTATTTTGTACTTTTCATTCCAAAATTTCATCCTTTCTATCTGTACTATATTCTGAAATGTTTAATTGTTCTCATCATAGTTAATACTACTAGTAATTTGTCTTATTTGGTACTCCCGTCCTTTCGTTGGTAGACGGATATCTGTTCTACAACATAAATGACGTAAGTTGGTAAAAGCTAATCGAGCCTTTTCTATCCGTGCTGAGATATCTAAGATGTAGCTAACACTAAAATCTATAAAAATATATTTCATCACATTTGAAATTCATCATCTCAAACTTGATATTTTCATTACAGACTCATATCTAACACCTTCAACTTTAAACAACCAAACACTTGTTAATTATTTTATGAATGGAATTTTATAGTAAAAAGAAAAAGTGTAACGAGAGAAAAAAAAAATCTTTCTTTTTTCTTCAAAATAAACAATTTGACAGAAATAATGTGAATAGTCCCCCCCTCATCTCTTTCTCTCTCTCTCTCTCTCTCCTTCCCTCGCCTATTTTGTTTTATTATTTTCATTTCAAGTTATTCAGAACAACAATAATAAAATCAAACTGAATTACTCTATGAAATGAACAGATGTTACAATGTTAATAAATAATCTTTTCTTTCCTTTTTTTTTCTTTCCTTTTTTTTTTTTTTGAAGAAAGGAAACAGGGAGTAGGTCGAACGGGAATAGAAACTATTAATCCTCATCACTATGAGTACACAATAATGAGATATCGATTTTTTTATTTATTTCAAAAGATGATTATGTATAATCAAAATTATTCTTTAAAACATACTTAACAATATTGAAGCCTCCCCCCTTTCACCCCTACTAAAAAAAACAAGGTTTTACGACATGGTTAAGATTTGATCAGCAGATAATCTAAGTGAATTAATATATGAAAGAATGACACATTGGGTAAACATTAAATATCAATGGAAAATTGTCCATTTCAATATGAAAATCTCGATATAAATGCTAAGAAAAATAAAAACGTTACGTGGGTACTGAAATGAGATCCTAATAGTTTGGAATGGTTGAATGGTTAGGCGATCATGCGCGAGACTGATAGGTCCTGGGGTTGAATCCCGCGGGGGACGGGATCGTGGATGAGCACTGATGATATGTACCACAGTAGGACGAAATGACCGTCCAGTGCTTCCGGGTTTTCCATAGTGGTCTAGCTTCAATTGACTCATGATCTCAATTATTAAGATTACTATAATATCCACAAAACCCCTTCTGAGTTTTTAAATAGACAATAAACTTAAGTGTCTATTCGCAATGATATACATGACTGTTGAAAGTAGGATTTTATGTGTAATCTGATGAATATTTGGTGACGAATATTCTTAAAGCATTGCTTGTATGTAGGAACAGAGTGATTAAATTAAAAAGTTCCACGTCAGTAAATCAATCAAATTGAAATATGGTTTAAACGTAAAATCATATGGTCAACATACAAAATGCTTCAATTATAAAGTTAATGCACAATAGAATTTATTTTCACTTTATAAACCATGAGTTGGATACAAATGTGTTATTTGAGTGAAGATAAAATTGATGAGTTTTTTTATCACACTACTATTCTTGAGATAAGAGATGGTTGGTGTAAATCGATAGAAAACGTTGAAAATAGGTTTCTCGTTAGTTAGCGACCAAAAGTAAGGTGTATTTTTAATCTTAAGAAAGCAGATGGATTCCTGTGGGATTCGGATCATGAATCCGAATCCCACTAGAATTCACGATACTCAGTAATACGGTCTTAGACATTAAAGCTGAACTATTCGGACCATAAATGACCTTGTATTAGACTTTTAGTCCTGATCATGATGAAATTAATAAGATAAGTAACATAAGAATTGATATAATGATAATACGAAAAATACAGTTCGAAAAGGACAAATCATATTAAGGAGTAAAAAGCAGAAAATTCAACGGGACAGAAAAACGGAATGTATATGTACTACTGCAATCAATTCTGACCAATGTCATCAAACGTAGCAAATCAGTGATTGCAAATCGTTATGAAGTGAACCAACTACTGATACGATTTAGAGAACAACAATCGACAACTTCATGGACTAATATTATGTCTTGATTTTCCGGCTCTTTACAGTGTGAACAGTAAATATTCATCCCTTGGTGCAATTATACAAGTATCAAACGTCTAATTGATTCACCAGTTGAAATTACAGATATCCTTCTTTGATAAAGATATATCATAATCTGACAAATTATACAACTTATAAATGAGAATCAGTAATAAAACATCGATTCAAATCACAATAATCTAATACTTATTCCAGAGTACCATTAGATCATACATGTCTATTTATAGAGAAATTTATTCAGATAAATCAAATATTAAAAGTAATGAAAAACAAAAGTAACAAATGTATAAGACCAAATAAGTAGTATAAATGATCGAATTATATTATATTAATAGTACAATTAACTCACTTAATTGTAATGACTGAACTGATGATGACGACGACGATGATGATGATGATGATGGTAAAAGACAAATATTTAATGGATTTTGATGTTGTTCAATATGATCAATCAATTGTTTAGGTTCTGAATGCTGTTGCTGTTGTGTTGTTGTTGTTGGTTGTTGAGAGCTTGATGATAAAGATGATGTTGTGAATAACAAACGGTACAATTACTTTTTGATTCATATAATTTATTATCATGACAATTACTACTATTAAGTTGATCATTCAATTGTTGATATTGATGATGATCATGATGATGATGATGATGACGTTGATTTTGTTGACTATTTATTTGTTGTTGATAATGTTGATGTTTTGATAAATTTCTTTTCTGTGTTGTTATATTCAATAAACGATCATGATTGAATAATGTAGGATTCATTGATGGAATCATAGAAATATCCGATGGTTTTATACTGTTATTATTAACATTGAATGAATCAATATGAGAAAACATTTTACCTACAAAATTATTATTAGTATTAGGATTATCAGTAATGATTAGATTACCATTATTATTATTATTATTATTATTATTATTATTATTATTATTATTATTATTATTATTATACATTGAAGGGAATAATAATGAATCGGAAAAATTTCCCAAACCTAATCGATTAGTATCGAAAGAACATATAGACAATGAAGATTTGTTAGAATTGTCACATTCAACATTATTATTTACTGGACGATGTTGATGTTCAGCAATAAATAAATTTGAATCAACATTGATACAGTTCGTTATTGTTGTTATATTAACCGATGATGATGATAATGATGATGAGATAGTAGTGTTAGTAGGTCCTCCACATTCTGTTGTTAATGTGTGCATAGACATATTCATTGGTGCCGGTGTAATTGGTGAATATTGACTGCTAATACCAAGTTGTGTTTGATAATTCGGTTCATTGATTAATTGTAAAGGTTGAGGTATTGGACGGTGAAAATTAGATTTATGAGCTTGTTTTCGTTGTTGTGTTGACCAAGAGGAGGATGATAGTGGTGGTGAAGACGACAATGATGATGAGACATGAGGAGGTTCGTTGTTGTTCAGTTTTAATAATGATGTCTAAAAAGTGAAAACAATAGGCATATGAATGATCACAAACTTTATGACCAATACTTGCTTGTATTTGGTTTGTGTTAGCAGGATAGGGTCTCGTTGCATATCTCGACCAAATCGGAACAATCTTATTGATCTATCTCAAACCAATAAGCGTTGTGGAACGAATCAGGTAGATGCTAAGAAATTCTCATGTAAATTCTGTATATATTCTAATAATATATTTTTTATTTGTAATATTGGAGTATACACAGTTAGTTCCCAATGCCTATTCTAATTTGAGAATAGTCATATGAAGTATCGTAGTTAAGAAATTGTACACAGTAGAAAGACAAGTTGACATCACATAAGAACAATACAACCGTGTAACATTATTATATTAACTAGCAACATTCATTGCCGGTTTACGATTTCATTCACAGAGGAAGTCTAGACGATTTTTGACACGGTTTACGTTACCTTAACTGGTCAGAAGTATATTGTATCTATTAAGATTAGTAGACAAATGTTAGAACGATGTTTAAACATATACAAAGTACACTTAGAAATTCATCGCGATTCATTTCTAAATTTATTTATTTATTTGAACATATAGATATTCGTACAAAGGGGCGTCGAATACATATGTGCCACATAATTTATTCGATTTGTGTGAAGGATGGGATACTGCCTGAGTGCCTAAACTGAAGCAGCAGGGTTTTTTAGGGGGCTACACCCTGAGCCTTCAGTCTAAAGGTCTGATCCGCAAGGCAGTGGAGAAATAGCAGGAGTTGCAGTCCCATGGTACCCGGTGACCAATAACTGGTTCATACGCCATTTATTCCCTCAGTATCCTAGAGCGCATATGCACCATTGGTTTGGGATCAGGGTTTTTCAACTTCCCTAGGTGGATTCTCTGTTTCTACCAAACCGGTTAAAGCGCTGGACATTCGCTTTTCGTTCTCTTAATTTCGTAAACAACAATCCTGCCACGAGAAGGTAGTAAGTACGACTTCCCTGACAGTAGTTGTATGAACGTGTTCATGTGAGAACATTTTGAGAGGGAAAGCTGACTCTCCCTACCCTCGAACGTACTAAGGCATTTAGGGAAGATTTTCATCTTGAAATTTTATAACGAAACAGATAAAAATGATCAGAAATATCAATTAAGAAAGAATTTTAAAGCATCCATTCATAATTAAACGATGATGATGATAGATAAAATAGACAATTTTCACTTACCAAATGAATATTTGGTGGCATAATGTTACTATCATTATTAATATTAGTAGTATGTATCATATGTTTTTCATCAAATAATGCAGTTGTACTTGTAGTATTCTTTAATTGAAAATTTGCCAACACTTTTAAATTATTATTATTATTATTCGATGATTGGATATGTTCAATAGATGACCATTTCTGGTCAAATATATGCATATCTATTGGATACTGTACATTGGTATCATTATTACTACTTGTATGGTTTGAAATAGGATGCCACCAATCATCATTATTCATTAAACCAAATAATTCAGATCGTTGTGATGAAGAATTAACAAATTTATTACTACAAGTAGTAGTGATTGCATTCGATAAACAATGAATTGATGATGGTAAACATGTATGTTTTATTGATGGCGTTGTACTCTGATCTGTTATTAACATTTCTGTTTCAGATGGAAATGATGTGTTCATTGTCAGAGGAAACTCTTCATTTCGTGATAATAATGAACAACTACTATTCGATGTAGTTGTTGATACTGGTGTGGTAGTTTTTTCCAATGAGGTTAAAGAAAATGCTGAACTGAATTTTAACACAGATGATTCGTCAACTGGTACATGACGACGATTTTTAATACTATCATTGTCAGTAATAGTATTATTAGTAGTATGAGTATCTTTTTTAATAATATCAACAATATGATCAAATTCTGATGAATTTATGCGAAACAGTTGTTGTTGTCCTGATGTATGATCATCATGTTGTGATAACCATAAACTATCATGAATAGATGTTGAAGATGCTGTTGTTGAAAGAGGCTGATGAGGTTGACAATGATGACAACTAACCACAGTATTTGATAAAGGCTCAGTTTGATGATCAAATGTTAAATGTGATTTTTGCTGTTGACTTAACATATTAGGACTATTACAACAATGATCAATTAATGAAGTGTTATAGGATGATTCTAATATTTGTTTATTAAGTGGATATGACCAAGTATTATTATCATTACTAATATTACTATTCATTGGATGATGACGATGATCATGACTATTAGACGACTGCATTTTCAAATCTGAAGTATTCGATGGTGTATTAACCAAGTCAAATAGAGTGGAACTAGGTGAATTGACATTTTTAATGGAATTATTCGATGTTATTGTTGTATTAGTAGCTCTTGTTGTTGACAAATCGGTCGAAGTGGAAGGATTTGAAGAAGCAGCTGTAGTCATCACAAATGTAGTAGGCCTAGTATTTGTTCCAACAATATTTGATAAAACAGAGTCGTAACTATTTTGTGATGCCTATATTTATCAATAAATTAATAAAAAAGATCGATATTATTAGTGCAAGGTGGATTTATATATAGATGGTTAAATTTCACTTTGCATTACAAAGTGACCTTGGTTAGACAGCGATTGGAAATCATAAAGAAATGAACAGAAGTCCTGTAGTAGTGAAGTATCTCCTAGAAGTGTGCGATCACGACTTTTATGAGACCCTGATATCCTCAGTTCGATCCGTAGTACCTCCGTGAGTGAATATTGTTGAAGGGTCCCATACTAGGAAGAAACTAACTAAACTCGGTCAGCGACGTACAACACGGAATAAAAATATAAGCAAACAGCTGTCTAATATTTAAAAAAAATCCACAGACGACCAGGTGTAATATTGAATGAAACAAGTTTAAATTTCTCGAAGAACATATATTTTCTTCAAAAGACAGAAAAATTACAAAAAGATTGACCTCAAGCAATTGTCCGTTGAACATTCTGTTCAATATTGGTTATTGAAACGAAAGCTACAAATAGTTTCAAAAAGTAAGGTGAAGCTCGGAAATATTTGATAGTAAACTCCTATCATGATGAAACACATATTCGTCAAGAACGAACCTCCAAAAAAATAACAATTATATGCTCACTGATAACTATTATGACGACAGATTTGTGAACATCAAGGAGGAAATCGTCATTATAAAGTTCATCATCTCGAGAGTAAGATAGTATTTCATAAATGTTAACACATTTACTAAATACAGATTCATGTACATGACTTTGACTCATAACTGAAATTTGAGACCCCACATATGACTGGGTGAAATTCTACTGGCCACTGCGCTTTCTACAAAACTTCAAGGATTACCTCAAAAAATTAGTCTCCAGTGGGGATATACTAATTACTAATGTAAGTATGAGAAGATTGTCAAGTACTTCGTGGTTTTAAAGGTTAGCTCGTAATATAAATTATGGTGGTGTAGGGTGCGGTGTTCCAGCCAGGTTGGTTGGTAAAGCTTTTCTGGGAGACTATACGTAGGCATTCCTGGAATGAATTCCGTGTTTTCAAGGCCCACAAACCCACCGCGTTGATGTGGTTTTGTGGGGTCTCCGCTGTCCCGTAGATCTTTGAGTGTATTTCGGTATCGTAAGAAGGGCAAGTGAAGGATATTTCAAGGTTTCATGTACCCTGGATAAATATAGTCTACATGCATACTAGATAGCACACGGACTTAAATCCGAGTATCCTTTAGAATACATACAAATATAACTACCCTGTGAGCAAATATACGTTACGTGCACATGGGTTTTATCCCACGCATCACATGGCGTACATATAGGTATATTCACTCACTTCGGAGGGTAGATATTCACCACTCCCTTAGAATCGTATGTGCCACACAGACTGTCTTACACATTACACATATATCATTCAGCCCATGTCTACCACCCAAATACTTCCTGACACATATATAAGCATAAGCATTCCCTCAGGGAAGGTATTTGGTGGCCTCTCCTTAGTAATTGCTGTTATATCTTCGTATTATGTATTAAACCTGACAGATTTTGCCGCTGATTTTACTAGACATAGGACCGACAAGATTTCAGCTAACATTTGCTTTGCATACCGTTCGATATACCTACATACTTGGACTACGAAGGCCCGAGGACTTCTACATTTCTTATACATGAGCATACACATCAGATGACCCCGTGCGATTAGATGAGCCTTGAACATAACCTAAGTTGATCACGGATACAAAAGAGTGGGTGACCAGTTCGATCTCCCTTGACTGCCTAAGTTGGCTAGCAAGGTTGTCCCTACCATTCAGCAGCGCCGCGGGGAGGCCTTAGGTCAGATTTTGCTGTTAGCTGTAAACTATACAATCTTCACTTACTGTTAATACTACCACAAAATTAGATTTTATATCGCTACCACCGATCAGTTAACCATCAAATTAATTAGTACCAACAAAAATATGCTTACTGTAAATGCCTTTGAATGAGATTTTAAACTGAACGACTTCAAAGGGTCTATATCACTAGATGTTGAATAGCTTTTTTTCTTGGATTCTGAAACATTGTTATTTTTCTTGATATGATCAGAGCTTGTTTGCAATAAATTAAAATGTATTGCTTTATTACTTTCTTGATTATCATTACTACTGCTATCAATAGTAGTAGTAGCAGTATAGGTTTGATTTGATTGTGATGTCGTTGTTACTGTTGTCGTTGTCGTGGTGGTGGAGGTGTTATTCACTCCAATTAAACCAGCCGGTCCATAACCACCATGTAATCGCATATGACCATTTAGAGCAGATTGATTTTTAAAACGTTTCGCACAGATAGCACATGCTACACGTTTTGGTTCTTCTAATGGATGTGCCATAAGTAAAGCAACTTTAGCAGCGTTTGCTACTTCAATAGGATTCAAGGAAAAATTATTAATGGTTACAGTATTTGTAAGATGATTAATGCTGTCATCATTAGTAAATAATGTTTTATTAAAAATTGTATTTGTTATGGTTGGTGTCAGTGTTCCAGTTGTTGTTGATATTGTTGTTGTTGTTGTTGTAGTGGTGGTGTCCGATAACTCATCAGTGATTAAATTTATTGCATTCTCACTTTCCATATTGATATCCATCATATTATCATTATTATTATCATTTGGAGAGAATGGTTTAGAGGAGTTCGGTGAACGACAAACAAATCGTGATGGCGGTGATGATGATGACGAACGATTAGAACGTAGAGATTTTTCGCTAGCATTTTGACTAGTCGATGATATTGACTGTTTTGATGACTTCGCACCATCTATTCAATACATACAAATAAACACATGAATGATCATAGGAAAATTGAAAAAAACTGTAAATACATTTAACAACACAATTAGTTACATAGTTCAGTGCTTATTTGTAATTGTTTTTTCGTAAGAAAGGTAGTTGTCAGTCAGTAACAACGTGAAAATACGTACGAACCTACATCAGTTCGAGTTGCCATACATTACCACAGAGATTCAGTTATCGATTCAAATCCCGTAATGGTAGAGGTAGTGAAAGTATAAGTAGCGATAGAGAACATTAGGGTTTGATGATGTTATTTAAGGAGTATAATCCAGTGGAATAAATTTGGAAAGAAAATAAAGGACATAAAGAACTCAGAAGATTAGAATTTGGGAGAACACAAAGACTGTATGCACCTGCGCCATTGAGAACGATTTTGAGCCATGTTATTCAAGCTCTATAGCCATCGGTTGCTACCATCTCGCGGTCCCCAACCAAGTAGTCTACACCTACCAACATGGCTGTCTACTTGTCAGTGACTTCATGAATTTGTGACATGTTTTGGTCTGGCCGCCCATAGCTTTCTTCCAACCTACTCCTACAGTACAAAATATCGCACGTCGGGGAAGTTGGTGGTCGGGGCATGCGTAACACATGTCCCAGACATCTCAACTGATGAAGTAGGAAAACTTCAGTTGATTCGCCATCCTTATCTAGTAACCGTTTCCTAACAACTGAGTTGCTTACTCGGTGTTCCTAGGATATACGAGCAATGTTTCGAAGACATTTATGATCAAATACTAGTAACCTACGAATATCCTCTACAAAAGGCAGTTGGAACTGACTAATAATTTACTTTATAATGGATAGATAATTTTTTCAATCAGGTTTAATACTTAAATCATGTATGATCAGTATTTGCTGATAAACGTGTATTCTCAATGGCATGCCTTAATGTAGCCAAGGTTTAGAACATATGAACTTCGAATAATAGTGACATTCATGACAGGTATATTGTATTATTTCAAACTCATCATCTGAGTGTACCTACCTACCTATACCTTAGTGTTGAAGCTAATAATGAAATATGAACTTGGGAATTTTCGCCTTAAACACCAACCCATCATCTGCTGCGTTCAGGTAATCATTAACCAATCACTAAATTCTTCAACCGGTCTGAAGTTTTATACTAGAAGTGCGAGTGTGTATTATTATTGTTACTATTATTTATATTATCCATTCACTGCCTCATTGGATAATGCATTAAGCGTCTGAAGTGAAAGGTACTGGGTTCTAACCTCAGTGTGAATATCAACATTCATACAGATATGTGAAGTAGACGAGTCATAAATAGGACAAAACGCATATTCTAGAGTTATAATCCATATGTACTTTAAAACCTGAACCAAGGAAATGTGTGGAAGAGTTTCACTGAAATTCCAAACCACAACTGGTGTAAGATTCAAATAATTTAGTATAATCATAGAATGAACAAATTCAACGCTACTGAGGTGCATGCTAATTATACTGTCAGATATAAATAGTATGCAGCCACAATCGGAAGAGGGATACCTGACGGAAGAAAATGGAGATGAAGAAAAGAGAAAGAAAATCAGGGAGCCATCGAAATAACAACAGAATTGAAGGAATAATCGAGTATGTGAAAGACAAACCAAAGAAGATATGGAAGTGATGTATCTGATATATGAGTTTCATATATTTTGAAGTCATTGGGCGATTTTGCATTACACAATAAATTGTTTTCTCCATTTGAATTATACAGATACGTGTTAATTGAATTATTAGACATGTCTCATACCTATCTACTTAATTGGTATCCATATTTTGTCGATATATTAAAGAAGCTAGAATATTGATAGGATAAAGGAAAATGGAAGGTAAGCAAATTAAAAAGTACCGAGTCGAATCAAAAACTTTCTCTGATTGACAATTACTTAGTGTGATTCATATGAAAATAAGTTTAATTTGTAGTTGGATAGAAAAAGTATGTGATATGTAACACTAATCAAAAGTTGAATGGCTGGTAACAAAAGACTAAGAAGTTCGGATTGAAGAAAACAGAAAGGAATTGAGAAATGGAAGAATTATGAAGGATTGAAGGATAGATGATGAAAGATTAGCAAATGGTGCATTTAATGTATGATTTTCATATTTTACCAAAAAAATTTGTAATTTTCGATTACAGAATAAACTGTCTGTTTCCACCTGAGTTCTCATTTATCGCAGGTATATATTTGATAAAATTAAAACAATTTAATCAAACTTAAACTGTTTTATTCACTTGTCACATTCCTCTAATTCTTGAGACATAGAATAATTTGTAGTCTTAAAAACTATTATAAAACACCAGCATCCAAGACAAGTAGACACTGTCTGTACTGCACGGCAGTTCGTTGTGTTGTATTTTAGGGCTGCGAAACGTGGCCATTAAGAGTTGAAGATATTCGTAAGCTACTAGTATTTGATCACAGATGTCTTAGAAATATTGCTCGCATTTACTGGGATCATTGGGTAGGTAATAGTAAGGTCAGACTCAGGCTATTAGGGAATGATGATAAATCAGTTGATGAATCTTCATCGACTGAGATGGTTGGGCCACGCGTTCAGTATGGGCGAACACCACGACGACCAATGTTGACTAGTGTTGGGGATGATTGGAAGAAAGTTGGAGCAGGCCAAACCACAACGGTGTATCAGGCCTTGAAGTCACTAACTTCTAGTCTGAGCCATGTTGTTAGATACAGACTACCTGGTTGTGGTCCGTGTGACTATCATAACGAATGGTTGGAGACTCTGAGTGACATGGCTCAGAATCGATCACAATAGCGTAGTTGTATAGTGTTCATATAATGAAAACCTTACGATTAAACATAAAATCATATTGATTTATTGGATAAAATTGATGTGATCGCTCCTGGATGATAAGATTATACAATGTCTACAGCAGACTAAGGTATTATTAAGTGAAACAAGAAAACATGCATAGAGCGGTGGTGGGGTAGCGGAAACTTAATTTCTTGCTGGTTCCATTAGATGAAATAAATGATTTTTTTGTCTGCGATGACCGTATCAACAAAGTGAGTTCAGCTATTTTACTTAATAGGCTTTAGTCAATAAGCTAATAATATTCTCCATCTTTCCAGGCAAAATGAATTGGTGAAGCCTAGTAAGCCCTTCTGAAGAAGTGACTACATCGAAGCACGGCACAACTACCGGAACGCGATAGCTATTTTTGCAGTTAAACCTGTGCTATATTTCTTTATAGCACTTGTAATCGTTTATCGGTCGAGTAATAGATTAGTTTGATCTCTACCACCCAGTTTATCGCTCACGTTAGTTCATGGCACAAGTCCCACTATCCAGAAGGCAAGATGAGGACGTGTGAGTCGGGTTTTATATATACGTACCTACATGAAATGAGGTTGATAATATTGTAAAAACACTTTATTTTTAAAAATACCTTACTTTAATTTAAATATTATACATTATAATATGCATATTGCCTACCATCTTGCTAAATTTAGTAGTGTTTTTGTTTTAGAAAAAAAAATCTAATTTTATTCCGATCAGATCAGATCACCATTTAACTCTAATTTATAAATTCTTATTTGTTTATTTATTTCTTTTCATATTGTTTAAATTAAACTACTTGATAGTGTAAAATTTTAGAGATTATTAAGTTTTTGATTGAAATCATGAACCGATTGATATTAGACCACCATTAAAAACCTGAAAGCACTGACGGCCATTTCGTCCTATTGTGGCAATCCTCAGCAGTGTGCATTCATGATTCCGCTCGCGGAATTCGAACCCAAGATTTATCAGTCTTGCGCGCAAACGCTTAACCGCTGAATGCCGGCTCAGTTGCACGTAACTCTAAAGGCCCTGAGTTCAAATCCCGTGAACGGGATCAGGGATGCGTACTGCTAACGAGTCTCACAATAGGACGAAATGGCCAGTGTTTCCAGGTTTTCAAAGGTGATCTAACATCAATCGATTCATGATCTCACTCATAAACTATTTGATATTGAATAATGTTTTATTGTTCTAACTGTAAGTTTTTGTTTGATATATTGCTGAAAAAAATAATCTTGTCTAGACCACCATTCAAAACTTAGAAGAAATGAATGGATATTTCACTTTTAACTTAACAACAGTGTGTGTGCACAATCTCGAACAAACCAAAGATTTTAAATCTCGTGAGAACAATTGAATTCTAGACTAGCGGTGTTAATGTTTAAAATCAATGAATTCATCATCTCGCGTAACTTTGCATCGATCCCCAATCCCCTGGTACAGTAGAGGAAATGCTTTCATATGCCAATGCGTATACAGCCACTGCCACAGAAGTCCTATTCACTACCTTCTTGTGCCATTACTGTTGTTTACGAAATTGAGAGGACGAAAGGCGAAAGTTCGGCACTTTAACCGAGTTGGTGGGCACGGAGTTGGGAAACTCTGATCTCAAACCAATGATGCACATAGGCTCCAGGATACTAAAGGGACAAATGGTGTAGGAACCAATTGTTGATCACCGGCTACCATGAGACATTATATCCTAACGTTGTTTCACTCCCTTGTGGATCAGATCTTTAGATCGAAGGCTCCAGATGTGGCCCCCTAAGTAAACTACCTGCTTCGGTCTGGGAACCCGAAGAGTACCACAGACCACACACAAATCAAGTGACTTGTGTGGTGCATATGTATTCGGTGCTCTTTTGTGTCAATATTTATGTGTTCGGATAAATAAAAAATAAATAAATTCTCATCAATTGCCTGAAGTGGATAGCCTACACTGTATGAAATCCATTAATCACGGCCTCTCACAAGAAGAGTTGAGCAAGATCATATATATTTAATTGCTCATAAATTGTTGCAATCGTAGAGTTTATGATAATTAATCACACACATTTTTTTGTTTGAGATAGACAGAATAGTTAGAAGTACTTAATAGGTTAGCCAATAAGGGATAGACGAATAAATAAAAATCACAACCCGGTGAAAAAA